CCGGCAAGCAGCAAGCAAGCAGCAAGCAAGCAGCAAGCAAGCAGCAAGCAAGCAGCAAGCAAGCAGCAACCAGCGTTTGCCCCTTGAAAGAATAGTCAAATACATGTTTTAAAAATCAACGCAATACAAAGATTGAACTTTTTCCATGCGCACGGCCCCAAAAGAATGAAATCGTTCAGTTACTAAAAGTTGTGATGATGCCAAAATTGAACTTTTTCCAGGCGCACGGCCTCCCGATACGACTTTCAGAAACTGATACGACTTAAACCGAGCGTTAGTATATATGTTGCATATCAGATCCATCTTGGCCATATAAACATGGTGCTGTTAGACGAGATTAGTGGATTTGTAGTTAAGCCACATGACGGTATACTATCTATAGCGATCTCCTGTTGAAATAACATGCTGTCAGGACGCGCCTTCTTATGTGGGTCATCCAAGCGATGGCTGGTTCTTATCCTGGAACAGCCACGAAGTTCATTCTATGCTGCTTTGGCACCCAAGTATGAGAGAATTCATGATGTCGCTTCCCAAGGGTGTAAATCTTGAATGTATGTGCGAGACTCCATGTCCTTCCGAAACAAATTCAACTGATACATTCGTTTCACTTTGACGATCAAACAGGGTCAAGTAGGAATGATTGCAGGCGTGCATGAAACTACCGGTTGGGAGATGTCCAAACTGTTACCTGTGTTTAATTACAAAAGTGTTGTGTAAAGTTTTGTATGTTTTGTTGAGAAGTTCTTGAAACACCACATTCCCATGGGTATGATAACTAAGTTCCACTGTTAACAAGTAGCGTGCTTTCGGAAGACTTCAACCATCTTCAACTGGAACTGTTGTGGTAGTGCCATTCATTGGCAAACACCAGTCAGTTCTGGTACATCAAGCAATAGTTTGGCATTGATGCTATATAGTATGTAGATCCTGCACCGAAAGAGTTGTTTGCCCAAGATGAGTAGAACATAGCCTAACATGAGCCTAAAAAATCCAAGTGGCCCAACGTGAGCCTAACTTAGCCCATGTGTGGCCCAACATGGGCTCAAGCGGGTCCCTTCGGTTCCCCAAGGGGCTGTCCCCGGCGTTGGCTAAGCAGACCGCATCAGGCTGCACGGCAGCGCCTTGAAAGTGGCCATGTCGTCACTGGTGCCCCTTCAGCCTTACCCTTGGGTAAGCCGCTTACAGATCATACAGCAAGCCATTATAAAAGCAATGATAAACCCGAAAAAGCGTCCTGTGATCATGTTGGATCAGTGTGCTCTGCAATGGCATTAAGCATTCCAATTGCAACCAATATCCTACATGCAGGTGCAAAATCGCAGCACCAACCGTTTGAGTGCCAGGCCAGCAGTGCAACCAAGGTCTTCGCACCGCAGGGCAGTCAGCTATCCTGTGCAGGTGAATTGACATGCGGAAATTTCATTCGGCCGCCTATCTGTTGAAAAGCCAGCGGTGGAAATATATATATATATGCATCAGTTCAACCGTTCAACCATTTTTAGCAAGTATCCAGCTTCCAACCACCGGTTTCTGCGGTCTTTTTCCAAGGATCCATTCCTGTGTGGGCGAATAGCCATCAAACAACATACAGCAATAACCATATATATAGGAATGGATTTCTGCCACCACAAAAGCAGATCCAATTGCTCTGGCATCGCCGGAGTCCTGGCTTCGTGGCTGCATGTTTGAGAAGAGTTGCCTATCAGGCGGAGATTCTTTGCTTCAACCACCAGACGACCCGGCTGATCAAAAACTTTGGAAGTTTTGAACAACTTGGTGAGGCTTTTTCGCTGTCAAATCGAGTGGGACCATTTCAAAGGAGCCGCTGCTCCGTGCAACTCTTGTTGCATCTTCAGGGCTGCAGGGGGTACCGATTTGCACCCTGTCAGGCTACAACTGAAGTGAGAAATAGAAATGATAGAAATGCCATATTCGGAAAAATATAGGAAAACCCGCGCTTGACTTCCAAATCTTTCAAGTCTATGCAGCTTTTACTTTTCACTGTCTGGGATTGGAACCTTTGGGTTGCCAGGCGTAAATCCGTACCCCAAAAAGAAAGGTTGATATCGCTCCCTCCAGTGCTGGAGTCTCAGCATGACCTGCAAAACACCAAAGGAATTACAAATCTTTTGGATTCACTTTTCACTAATTCTGCACCACAAGTTGAAATAAGAGGTGACCAATGCCACGCAGTTGATGAGAAAACGGACTGCTCGTGACGCTGGCATCCTACCAGCCCAAACGCCTGTCCAACATCAGCAAGTGCGCAAATGCACCGGACAGCGGGCCCTGTGCGCTTCGCGGTTTATGTCAATGCTTGGTGTTTATGATAGTTCCCGCTTTTATTTGAGCAATTGTGTAACCAATTCTGACAGTATATATATATATATATTTGGGCTGGTTCTCATTCTAGTTAGGGCATGTCGGAATGTCGGATGAGATTGATCATCCCGTTGTCAGGGTTGAAATGGGTGGAAACAAGCGTGTTTGCAACTACCAACCAGTGATTGACAGATGACTGAGAGTTTGCAAGGCACCGTTCGCCTCAAAGTAGCGCCCAATTGCCTTGTCTTTTCAAGGCCACCCAGTTTCAAGCCAGTTATTCGGTCGTGTAATTGGGCACCCCATCCCCAAAGTGAAGAATCATTTCGCGGCTAAGGCCAGGACTTGCTGAAGCTTCCACGCCTTCCGTGCCTAGGTTCATGCTTTCAGAACCCGAGGGGCTACCCCAAGGTCTGAGGCGCTAGCCCGCTTCTTCCGCTGCTTTTGTCGGAAGAGGCGTGTGTGCACCAAAAGCGCTTGGGCCTGTGAAGCGGGCGTTTTTTCGTGTGCAATTGTTTCATGGGACAATGCGCCAAGCCTGGACGTAGTTGTCCCATCCCGGTGGTGCCTGAATCATGAATCTGGTCATTTAGGACATTACGCCGTCAACACCTCCTGAGGCCATCACCGCTGGCTCTTGCATCATCTTGCGAACCTCGCGCGCTCCAGCAGGAGCTCAAATGTCGAGAGGGAGATCAAGTTTCGAGACAAGACACAATGCTGCCGTAGACCTCCACCCAGGTCTCCCAGTGGGATAGGAGCCAGATATGAGATGATCGGATGTGTGTCCGCGCCTTGCGGTGCTGCCGCAATGCCTCTAGCACGTACGCGCCGGAAAACTTCTTCGGGGCGTCGTACGCAGGGTGGCTGAGTTCCGTCAGGAGCAGCATAGCGTTGAAGGCTTCCCTGTCACTGGGGTTTCGCGCTGCTGCCTGAAATAAGGCGTCGGTGCATGCAGGGGCGGATAGGGGGTCTGACTTGAAACTGAGAAGGCGGAGGCAAAGTGCAAGGCATGGCTTCTCGCTATGCGTGGAACCAAGAATTTTGATGGTAACGATATTCACTTTGGAGAAAGGCTTTACATCGCGCACTTGCGGCCCCGGAATTCCTATTTAAAAAAAGCGGACAACCGAACATTCCAAGATTCCTGACTATGTTCTGCCATCGCTGTGGCCTGGCCCCGCACATTTGGCGTCTTGACGCTAAAGATGTAGCTGAAATACTGGTCTGCTCGCGATTCAGCTGCAAAGTGTTGCCGCTCCTGGCACCGTGTAGGCACAAGTGCTCAAAGGATTTGGGCACAAGTGCATGAATGCGGCGCTTGCCTGACGATTTTTTGCGGCCATTTCAAGAATGAATATACGCTGCTCCCCGCCTCGTCTTTGAGCACCAGTTTGGCAGCCTTTGCGGGGCCCAGGTCCAAACCATCCACTTCCGCAGCAGTGGCCTGGAGGTAATTCACCAGCGATGGTAAATACCAGTAGAACAATAGTAAAACCCAATAATGGTAAATCCCAGATAAAGTTTTCAGAAATTAAAAAACAAAATATTCAGCCGGTCACTTGTGAAAAAAATATTCATTATATATGGAATTGGTGAGAAATCTACCGTAATCAACCAGGCATGGTAAATCACAGGAAAACCATGGTAAGCCCCAGTAAAACCACGGTAAATCCCAGTAAAACCAACGTAAATCCAAGTAAAACCATTGTAAATCCTAGTAAAATTGTGGTAAATCTCACCAAAACCATGGTAAGACCATGGTGAACCCAAGTAGAGCTATGGCAAATCCCAATAAAACAATGGTCAATCCCCGCCAAACTATAGTAAAACCATTGTAAACCCCAGCAAAACCATGGTAAATCCCAATAAAAAAATGGTAAATCCCGGCAAGACCCTTGTAAAGCAATGGGAAACCTCAGTAAAACCATGGCAAATCCAATAAAACCCTGGCAATCCCCTAAAAACATGGTAAAACCCAGTAAAACATGCATGCATGCATGCATGCATGCATGCATGCATGCATGCATGCATGCATGTATGTATGTATGTATGTATGTATGTGTATATATATATACATACGATTAAGTTGTCTCAGTGTTTCACATCATGCTTTTGCAGCTCAGCAGTGCCAACGGGCAGGTAGTTACGAAGGCCGGTTCCAACGCCACCAGTTGATGGGGCTTGCGGTCATCCATCTTTGCGTCCAGCTGGGGCCGCAATCCTTCTCCACCCTGAGTACGGGTGAGCCTTGAAGTGGGCCGACCACATGGCAAAGCCATTGTCAAATGGGGATATCCAAGAATGTACAGCATACGCTAGCTACTAGTGGCTTGCTCTTGAAATCGGGCTTGCAGGGTGCGTCTGCATCTGGTCTGCCCCTTGAAAGTAAAATCTCATTGAAACCGTGGTATATAAAAATAAAAATACAAATCCTAAATAAAACCGTAGATAAACCCTAAACAAACCCTAAACAAACCCCAAACAAACCCTAAACAAACTTAAGAGTTGGTGACATGATAAACCTCTGGGCAGCACCCCCGGCCTTAATCATATGTGTATATATTTGTATACATAAAATCAAAATCATATGTATAATTTACTATTTATATATATATATATATGTATGAGATATTCCCAGCTCCATCCAGATATGCTTTCTGCATGTCCCCAGCGTCTCAGCCAAGGGCAGTAGCGCTTGGGGCCCATCGCGTTTGGTGCGGTAGCCGAAGGGGCTGGCATGACACACCTCGATGCCGTAGAGCTGCAGGAGTCGTTGGAACTCCGGGACGCGCTCGGGGTTAGAGGTCACCACATAGACCCGGCGGACTTTCACCATGGCGAGGTACGAGAAGTGAGGCGAGGCCCAGAAGAAAGCACGAGTGAAGTGATATCAAACATCATTCTGGGTGATTGCTGTAAGACCCAACAAACATTCAAACAGAAAACATCGAAGTTGTGGGTGTGAAGAATCCCACGCACAAATGTTTTCGATCATATGAATCATATGCGCACCTGACTTTCATCTTGTGACACAAGGTTGGATCATCTTTCCAGCTCTGTTCTGACGGCATGGCGAAAGCAGCAACTGAAGCAGAACGCTGCGGTGTTCTCCAGCGCCTTATGTCAGCCTATGGCCTTGCTCCAGAGAATAAGTGACTCAATGTGTGCATAAAATTGCAGTCAGAAGACAAAAGTCAGAAGTGGGAGTTTGGGTACAAAATGTCGCCCCATCTCGAAAATCTCCAGCTCAAACCTTAGAATCTCCCCCTCTGCACTGATAGAGTAGGTAGTCAAGGCTCATGGGTGGACAAGACAAAAAAACTGACGATGACGATGGCGATGACGATGACGATGACGATGACGATGATGATGATGATGATGACGACGACGACGACGATGACGACAATGATGACAATGATGACAATGATGACAATGATGACGATGATGACGATGGCCATGACCAAGACCATGACCATGACCATGGTGATGATGATTACCCTGGTCGTGGCTGGCATTTCTCCGCAGTGCATGGTCTGTGACCAAATTTCCAACAGCCTTAAGCTGTGGAAAGCCAGTCTGACCTCGCCTGCTGCCAGGTGCAGGGTGCGGCGTCACAGCAGCGCAAGTTGCTGCCGTTTTTGTTTTGTGGAAGCTGTGCTGGAACTGAAATACGTTGGAAATGGCAACCTTTGGGCTAACTCCAATACCAACACTGGCTCATAAACCTGCCCTGTCTTCTTACATGATCTTACAGATGTAACGACAAATAAAGGTAACCAATGCAGTTCCAGGCCTTGCCTCAATCAGCATACGCTTCTCGCAAGTGGCCATCAGCCAGTTGCTGATCGTGTGGACAAACTCCACTCTTCCGAGATGCGGGTCTCCGACAAATCCAGGGAGGAGTCGTCGCCGTCCTCGTCCCCGGCAGAGGTTGTATACCATCCGAACATTATGAGGAGTTCCGGTAGTTGCCCAATGAATCTGGGATTGAAGACTTTGAGATGATGAAAAGCCCTGCTAGCTACATCTAGCTACATCTAGCTACCAGCTACCAGCTACCATGAATGCCAGTTTAGCCGCAAGACTTCCAGATGACCATCTAATGGATGCATTTTGACACACCCCCACATGGACCCATCCATAGATCGATGGCTCCTGTGTTGGCAGGTCGGTGGGTCCGTGCGAATCTGCCTCCGAGCACATCTGATCGCAAAACGTGACCCCTGGCGCATGGGGCAGACTTGCGGTACAAGATCCAACCCTTCGCCGAATCCCCCCACTGCCTAGGGGGGTCTTTAGCATTAGGGGGATGAGATGAATAATCGAAAGCAACAAAAACCCTTCTAGTAATTGGACATAGTTAAATCACCACGTTCATCCATTCATGTTCCATAGCAGTTACCAATGACTGGAGGGTATTGGGAAAAATTTGATTTTCTCACCCAAAAATTGATGGACTTACCTTCAAAAAATGCGGACTTCACATGGTTTAACCATGAAAACTGGGAGTTTCAGATGATTGTAACCATCAAAAATTGGAAATTCCACATAGATTTCACCAAAAATAGGAAGTTTCACCCTTTCCACATCCAGGCCTGGCAGTTCGCAGCTCTTCAGATCCGGCGCCCCCAGCACCCGCAGCACATTCGCCGCCACGATGGGCGGCACCAGCCGGGAACTGAGGCACACGGCCATGCGCGAGCACCAGCGGTCCAGGCGACAGGTGGTGCCAACGGGTCGCAGGCGATGGGCGAAGGGCACCTGGCAGAAGTAGGTCTGGTAACTGCCTCAGATGTGGAGATTGCTTGGGGGAGATATGTTTTTTGGGGATTTGGGGAAAGCTCGGGAGATGTTGTTGGGAAGATGGTTGAAGATATCATGGAGATAGAATGGTGATATCATGGGTATATCATGGGTATACAAAAATACATATATATATATAATTATGTAATGGGGAGATTGTGGGGGGATATGTTTGAGGTTTACAAGCAACAATGTGATTGTGATATTTGGGTGTGTCTGAAAATTGGGTATGGGCGCCCCAAGTCATTGCACTCGCAATACCCAATTTCGAGACCAAACCATTGCAATTCAGGGGGTGCAAAATAATCAAAATATTGGGATTTGTACTAGAAGCTGTTTTATGTTTTTGAACCAAAAAAATACCCTCCAGTAATCAAACATGGCAACAGGAAATCCCCTAAGGTTGACATACACATCTATAATTGAGGGATTTTCCATTGCCATGTTTGAATTCCAGAGGGTAACCATCAACAAGGGGGGGGTGTTTAATGGATTGCTTTTGTTGGGAAAATCTATGGGAACATTCCTTTTTTGCCACTACAGTAAATATAGGGGTTTCCTCCAGATTCTCCCAATAAAATCAAATTCATCAACTATCAGTTTCTCCATTTTCGAGCTCAAACAAGATCTGGGCGATGTATTCTAGCTTTTCTGTCTACTTTTTCATAACAATCAAAGTTGGTATCTCCTGGTTCTCCCAACCATGGCTAGCCGCGAGCCCAACCCACCCCCATCCAAGGGGCTGCCCAAGTAGTGCTTCACCAGGTCATGTAGTCCTGCCCGGAGATGGGCTAAGCGCCTGGAGACCTTCCATTCCACCCAGGGCCGTTCCTGCCACGGCCGCAGGTGGGTCTAAGATGTCAACTCCGTGGTTTTTTTTAAAGGGAGCTGTCTAAACATGTCTAAACTATAAGTCTTTGACTAACTTCAGCCAATTCCCAGGTTTGGACAAATTGGTGTGTTTTTTACTTGGTGGAGAACTACCCACGAATCGGAAGATGATATTTATGGTTTTGTTGGTGGGACAAGTAAGGTTAATGCACTTAAAACATCCTATACCTAGGGTGAACTAACCGACGAATACGATTCGTCGGTAGTTCGCCACCAAGTACCACTTAAAAATTGGGAACATGGTTTTATAATGTCTTCCTTCCCTTGGATTTTTTTCCCATGGACTGGGAAATTGTTCGTTACCAAAATGGGATGGTCTACGACTGAAAACGGGACCATTTCATCTACAGTTTTTCTGGATCTTCACTTTAAGCCCGTATCAGGGAGAATTTGAAAAACTACAACTTCAGCGAAGTGGGTAATTGCTCATCTTGTCAAGCAAGAGCGTAGTTATGGGAACAATGTTCTGGCAATCCGGCAGTAACTCTGGCACTTGAAAATCTCAAAATCCTACATCTGTAGATGAATGAATAATAACAAATCTATGTGTATAGAAATAATACTATATCATATTATATTATATTATATTATGTTATGCTATGTTATGTTGTATTAAATAATATTATATCATATTAAATTAAATTATATTATATTATATTATGTTATATGAAATAATATTATATCATATTAAATTAAATTAAATTATATTATATATTATATTATATTATATTATATGACTATGGCAATATTCCAATACCAGGTTTGTTTGCAAGAGTAAACCGCTAACCGCCCACCACTAACCTCGACCACCACAACTGGCGCAGGATTTGCCATCAACCGCAGGACCAAAAACAACCAATAACCTGACATCACCTACACCGGTTCTTCCTAAAATGCGGCGGAATGAAGAATCAAGGTCAAATTGCCTGGATTCCAAAGCGTTTCGAGGCTTCATCACATGTACCCTCCAGAAAATTAACATAGTATAACAAAGTATGATGATGATGATGATGTCCCCATCAAACATGGTGATTTTCCATAGCTATGTTGGTTTGCCAGAGGGTATGTCATCATTTTTCCGCATGGACATAGATGTGGATCAAGAGGATGCTCATCCCCCATTCCGGTGGCAAAGCTGATAGTTGTCGACCCATGCCCATATATTTTGCTGGCCGGGGGCACTCCCAACAAGGTTGCTCCAAGCTATATAGGTAAATGGTAAATGATTCCAAGCTACATGGTGAAAATCAGTGATTTGATTGACTTCTTCAGTCAATTATATAATTACTTTGTACTTTTACCGTAACCTGCATCTGGGCTCCATTCCGCAGCCTCTGGAGTCTTCTTGCCCCGCCACAAGTGACATTCGATGATGTAATGCAAGTGGCGGCCACAGGTCGAATGTCCATGGACCCGGATGGTGAACTCCGGGTTCTCGGTACCTGAGCCCAGCTAAAGAAGGGCGGATTGGGATTGGAGCCCATCAAAGAACCCTGCAAAATGCACCACGAATGATTTGGAAATGGTGAGAATATGTGGGGATTGAGGATTAGTTTTTTTCCGTCCAGTAGTAGATTCACTTGAACGGGCCCGAAAAGGAAGGGATCCGACACCAAAAGATATATATTTGGGAAAGGGATCGAAAAATGCTGAAATCTGGATCTAAGTGGAGGTCCTAGGAAAGCACAAACTTCAACCCCAGCCCATATCTTAGGCCAGGCTAGCTTTCCTTTTCAAGAGATGGCAAGACAGAAACGACTGGGCCAATGTTCATCAAGCCACCCTTTTGCCAATCCATTTGCGTGCTTGCCTGGAATCCGAAGGGATCCAAGAAGAGCGCCACATCACGACCAGTCAACTGCTTTGGCAGCTCGATAAAATCATCATCCACGGTATCGTCCATCGCATCAAGTGGCCCAGGAAGTCGCCGACATGGCTGCTGCGTGCAGTGGGATCTTTGTTGATGGCCGTTGATGGCCGTTGATGGCGATGGCTGTTGAACCACTTTTAAAAGGAGGCTATGAAACCTAGGCCAAAGAAAGTGTGGCCACTGGATTAAAGAGGCCTTGGCAAATCATGGCAGCTAAAAGTGAGGAGTGTTAGGAAGGCATTGGCTAGAAAAGGCTTTATATGTCTTTATGATGTGTTCTGCCGTTTTATTATATAAATCAAGCGTTCAAAAAGGACTGGACAGCCCCACAATCCCATCGCTGACTGGGTTCTGCTGAATGCCACTGCATCTTGATGCGCTGGGTGCAACTTGTGGGGCGAAAGAATCTTTCCAAAACACCTTGAGCCAGATTGACCACCGATCACCAAAAGCCTGCTGGGTCTTGTATGACTAAAGCACGTCTGAAAATATTGCGTCTCATGCTGTATGACCTTCAAAAGCACCTTTAGGCATCAGGATTCTGGCGTCGCACGTCTGAAAATATGGCACCGCCAAGTCCAATTGTCGAATCATATTTTACCCTAGTTTACCCATGAAAACTGGCAGATTTTGAAGGTCTTGGTTGTAAATCCACAAGGATGTCAACAGATCATCTTCATCAGCAACGAACGCCTCAAACCCTCAACAGGATTTCCTGATGCATCGGAAAATCCACAACTCTTGAACTGTTTTGCACTGGGCAAACTTTTGACTGTGCTTAGTATGGTTGACTTGTCTAGCCTAGCCACATCCAAATCTTCCCTGGTCACCAGTTGGGTAATTTTCGTCACACAATCTCAATCGCTGACTCAGAGTCTCAGCAGGGCTTTGCCCTGGGAGATCCCTGACGCCTGAAAATCGATGAAATCTATGATGAAATATGATATGAGGGTGTTTAAGGCCTGGGGCTCCCCAAAACCATTGGTTTCCGGATGAAAAATCACCAATATTGACAAATTTAACAAGGAGACCTCGAAGCAGGCCCCCCACGACTCCAGAACCCCGGGCGCAATCCCAAACGGCACTCACATTCCATCGCTGTCCGAGTCTTCACAAAGATCCCCATGGCTTAGAGCGTCATGGAGTTCGTATCCCCAGCGTGCAGAGAAACATTGGAAGCAGATCACCACGGAGTTTAGACCCAGGACCAGGCCCAACCCCGCATAGGCCAGTGGAAACTTGGAAACCAAGTAGTCCAGACATCCCTCATAGGTGTCCAGGGCATAGTCATCACCTGGTGCCAAGTTTTTGTGAAAATTCTTTTTGGTGGAAAGCAGAGTAAAGATCAGCATTCCAAAGCAGGATTTTGAAATGAAACAAGATTTTTCCCCAAACAGTGTGTCCACACTGAGGGGTTCTTACGGTAGGAGCTAAAGGGTTGGGGTTCGATCAGGGTACGCTCTGTGGCCTCCGGTTTTTTCGCTGTAAATTCTTGCGCAAAAGTTCCCTTGTGAGATGCCCATGTGCATTTCGACTGCGCAAGCTCGCATTAAAGTGTGGGCCGTGATTCCCGAGGTGTAGCTTTACCCGCACACAATGCCCGTTTTTTGGGTTGTGTTCATTTTTTTTGCAGGCATGGTACTTTCGGGACATTTTGAAGTCTGGAACGTGGTTTTGCGTGACAGGTGCAGGACATCGGACACTTTTCCATCTCTGTGGCAGCTGTAGCACTCTTGGCGCGCTGCTAAAGCATTGGCAGGCATGGGTCAAAATGAGAGGTGGTTTTGGACGTCGTCTTCGTGGCAGGCGCAGTATTTGGTGAATTTGGATGACGTTTTGAAAGGGTCGAAAGCCTCGTTTTGTGAAACAGTCGTCATTTTTGATTTGGGACATGATGATGATTCCGTGTTGCAGGTGTGGAACTTCGGATGCCTCGGGCTCATTTTTCGTGGCAGGCGCAGCAATTACTTTGTAGACCCCCGCAAAAATGTACCCGAAACATTGGTAAAACATTGTGTTTGACATTTTCAATGTGTGTTTTTCGTGGTGCATGCAATGTTTTGTGAAAATCTAACATGTCATTGCGCAACCCTCTCGGCACTTTGTGCGTGTCAGACCGCTCTCATTGTGGCGCGGTGCATATTTTGATCTCGCTCGCGCAACCCTCTTGGAACTTTGTTGCTTTGTGCCTGTCGGTTGCTCTCGTTGTGGCGCGGTGCTGATTTTAGCTGATTCCCTGGGGTTCTGGTAAAGAGAGCTGATGAATTCTCTGGAAGGTCCTTCTATGACGATCTTGCAAGCGTTTCATGGTGCAGCCGCGGAATCGTTATGAGAAGATCTTGTGACGACCCTGTTGAGATCTTCTGAGAGGTCCTTGCCTGGGAAGATCTTGCGGAGATCCCGGTGAAGTTCTCTCTAAGAGGTCTTTGCATGATCTTGTTCAGGTCCTTGTCAGGAGATCTTGTGCTGATCCTGGTAAGATCCTCCCTAAGAGGTCCTTGCATGAAGATCTTGCAGATGCCCATGTATTCGAGGTGCTTGTATGAAAGCTCTTTTGGGATGCTCTTGGGAGGTTCTTGTACCAAGATCTTCCAAGATCCTCTCCAGCAGCAGGTCCTTTTATGACGATCTTTGAGATTCTCTTAAGGGGTCCTGGCATGAAGATCTGGGTCAAGGTCTTTTACAAATCCTTGTGAGAAGATCTTGTATTGTAGAGATCCTGGTGAGACACCAAAGAGGTCCTTGCATGATCTTGTACAGGTCCTTGTGAGAAGATCTTGAATAGGTCCTGTTGAAATCCTCCTCAAGAGGTCCTGACGCTAAGATCTTGAAGATGCTGTGCGTTTGTGCTTGTATGAAAATTCTTCTGGGATGCTCATAGGAAGTTCTTGTATGAATATCTTGTGAGATCCTCTATATAGAAGGTCCTTCTTCGACGATCTCTTGAAATCCTCTCCTGATGAGTAGACATAGCATTGCTTCTTGTATGTACCAAAACAAGTTCGTGCTGCAGCACTTACATTAGTGTCTAAGCTGATCTGTTACTGTTCCATAGCTACTGTTGCTTGTATCTGGTACGTTGACTTCCTACCCCCGGCACTGTTTGGGGTCTCTTGCCGGTGTAATTTTTGGAACCACACTTTAAAAATTCATTTTTCTGGAAAATGTCAAACACACCCAAAAAAAAAAATCATACAACATCCACAACCAGCACCCAGTGACTCTTGCGATATTTACATGCCTCCATGATGCCTACACAGCTTCCATTCCTTCGGCACACCGTCTCCACCGAGCTGAGCCCTATCAGCAGCAGGATCATCAGAATGGCATGAAGGACGTGCAGACAGCCACCGCAGCAGCTGCAGCACACGAAGCAGCCCAGGCAGGGCCGATTGTTGCGCTTGGCGCCAAAGAAGCCAAAACATGGCACCTAGACTGGAACAAAAATGAATGTGTTGATGTGTTGGAATAGAGGTATTGTTGGAACTGGTCATACTGGTCAGGGGGATCATCCTAACTGAAAGCTTGAACATATTCTCTTCTTTCGAAATGGAGCTTGTTTCTAGCTGGGAAAATCATCCATAAATGAAGGTGTTAATGGCTTAGTTATATCAAAAAGCTTAGTTATATCATAAAAGGGTATAAGTTTATTGAATAGCCATCGGGATCGTTATCCCCTTTGATTTTCTGTTGTTGTTTTCACATGAATAGCCCGACCACTGGTTAGCCACACCAGGCACTATGAGGGCCAGAATCAGCGCATTCACGCCCACCAGGTACTTGCTGTAAGGCTGCATGAAGATGGAGGTCGTGTCGTCTTGAAGATAAGATTCCCGGAACTCGTCAAACATATTGGGATCCTTGGGCAAAAACCGAATCAAATTTGGAAAATACGGAGTTATCTCCTCTTCAAGTATAGCCGCTATAGCCATTGAAAATGTGTATATATATATATATATGGCTCCAGGGTGCCAGGACATGCCAGGACATATGATACACATGGTACTTCAGCCAAATCCAAGGATCTGCAAACACGAAAACCACATAGTTGAAGGTGACCAGGACGGCAGCCGTGCCTGAGAGGCATAAGACCCGGTGCGTCAACGTCCTCAGGCGAGTGCTGTGAAACTTCATATGGAAGGGATAGCACACCATGCTGGCCCCAGGTGCGTATCCTGATGCAGACCTGTGGGCTACTTTGAGCCCAAAAAAACAGGGCTAGGGAACAGGCACACAGAATAGCTCACCTCCCAAAATGGAGAAGCCTCAGAGATTCAACAGCTGCAATTGGGAAATACCCCACCCAGTGCCATCGGGGTTCGTCCGATTGCCTGGATGTGAACATTTCACCGAGTCTGCCCCATCAATGTTTGATTGCCATCAGCTGGTTTTGCGCGACGACTGGTAGATTGTAATCCAAGCAAAAAAGAAATGATTCAGGAACATGCCCTTACGAAAGAAATCGGTGTCCTCTTTTCACTTTCAAAGATCAGAGATTTTAGAGGATACCTAGATCGATGCCTTTTTAGCCTATCAAGTTGGGTCAGCTCGTGAAAATCCATGAATTTACCGATGCTTCTCTTCTATTCTTCCCATCCAGCCCGCTGCTATTGCTATAGCTTCCGGCATTCCATTTGATTGCTGCATTTGAGATCCCGACCTCAGTTTCAAACCTGAAAAAAATATGGATCCAATGGAATCCAAGTCCAGGGTTCACAGCCGAAGTTGCACCCACCTTGCAGTTTCTGACGTTCCAGCCAGTTGCATCCACAATAGGACCCGGTCATCCCCGTTTGCGACTAGTCTTTAACCCAGGGGCCGGTTGTGCTCATAGCAGGTGCTAACTTTTTGCTTAAGCGTCGCGCGACGCGGCTCAGCTGCCACAAGGGTTGCAGCATTTGCTGTGCGGTCGGCAGTTGGCGCGTTCGAGATCGGAACGGAGCCGCACGCGACGAGTGAAACGACCAAACGACGAAACGAAGCGACCGCGGAACCCGCTCGAACCTTGACGCATTTGATGTTCTTGGAAGCTTCAAAAACCCCCAAATAATTGTTGTTGACACTTCCTACATTCAGGTCTTCCTCCATACCATGAGCTGGAGATGGACTTCTATCTGAAACTGTTTACAACTATGTGGCTGCTGGTCATTTGCATCCTGGGACATGTTGAAAGGGACCCACTGGCCTGTCATTTGACCAATGAAAAGCTGGAATCTGTTTGTTATGTCTTGGCCGTGCTGCTGAAGTTTCACAGCATTCCCATCAAAGATCACCCCCGGCCGCTCAGATCCGCAGTTTGCCTGGAACTTGTCATCCCAGGGGTCATCAGAATCGCACGTGAACCGAGATTTTTAAACACCGAAACTTCTGTGTGGGAAAGCGAAGAAAATCGTCGCTCCACAAGCTTCGATAGATCTACCATAGATCTACCATAGATCTACCATAAACATTCATAAACCACTTAGTTATAAACCAACTGGTTCACTGTTGAATGGTGCGCTGGGAAGCCCCAACGAGGTTCTGGAGCTTGGGGAGCACACACCCTCAGCAGCGTCGAAAATCCAGCAGGGTGCTTGGAAAGTTGGATATTTTACCATGAAAAATTGTGATTGCATGGGAAATGATGGGAAACTGTGGATTATATAGGAATTATCTGGGATCTAGGGATTTTTGCCAGAAATGAACCAAGAATCTTATTGGAAATTTGATGGGAATATAATGTTTGCAACCCAACTGAGCCCTAGTGAAATGATAGTTCATGATGTTGCTGGGTGTAACTAGGGGAGACCCAAGATTTTTCAGAAAAATGGGAACATGTTTGAACTGGGTTTATATATGTTTATATTATATAATTTTATTTATATTTATATATAATTAAATTATGATTATATTATATTAATATATATTTATATATAATCATTATATATATATATATATCAACTTAAGAGTGAGTTTTGCATAGTTTTACATGAAAATGAGGGATACCTTGACATGGGAGTGATCAGGAGAACGACATCTTCTCCGTCAATCCATGCTGGAAATCCTCCATCAGTTTCCCCCATGTACAGATGGTCCGAAAGCGAAAAACGACTCAGCTAGGGACTCAGCTAGCTAGAAAGCTCCCAAGTTGCCAGAGGTTTTAGGATGCCAATGAAAAATCGCTGAGGGCAGGACATGTTGATGTGATTTGCTGGATTGTAGATCCTGTCCTGCGCTGCCAAGTGAGCCAAGGTTGTGCCCTCTGACGAGACTAGAGGCCAACAAAGTTCTTCCTTCGTTTCCTTCAAATTTTGGGGAAAAAAAAGGCGGACAGACTGCCTTTGCACTGGTTCAAAGCAAGATATGTTGGTGGAAGGTGAACCTTTCTTCCGCGCAAAAAGGAGTCGTTGTCATAGGTCACAGCATGATGTGGGGACTGCCTAGTGTGTGGAAGTGCAAGTCAACTTAGAAGTAGCGTCGCATCAACAACAGGTCACTCCCCCCCCACCCCGTCAACACCGTAGCAACAAGTCATGTAAGCTCCTCAATGAGATCCGCAGCGACCCTCAGGGGGACGGTCCACATCTGGTTGGAATTCCACCCACAAAAATATGTGTCATTGGGGATCTGTGTTTTTGAAACCACCCCCCTCTGGTAATTCAACATGTTCAACATGATGACATAGCTATGTAAAATCACCATTGTTGATAGATAAATCATCTACAAATGGGCCATGGCTTCCAAAGCTGTGCAACAAACTACTAGAGGATACATGAAAAGTACTTGGGGGTGGAGTTCCAGTTCCCAGTATATAGACACAATACATATACAGTAATACAAAATAATACATCTAGTTATAGGGGCCCCATGTCGTAAGTTATGGTGGTTATCTCCATAGTAATATCCACTAGGAACTCCAACTGCACCCTCAAGTATTGACAGTGGAACACCTGCGATCCATTTCCCACGCCTCATGTCGAGCCAAGTCACAAGTTCGCTGCGCGGGTGGTGGCACCATAGATGGTATCCCCCTCCACTCGAGGTACATGACCTGGGGAAGGACAAGCCCTTCCCAGAGATACCCTGGACCATAGATCCGCTATTGATAGCCCCTTAATTAACTATTACATCATATTACATCAACCATTAAAAATATCCATGTTTAACTATTACATCAACCATTAGTTATATCCATTTTTAACTATTACATCACCATACGTCAACCATTAGTTAATTGACTATTGCTACTAACCCAAGGTGGATCAACCTTGCTGCTGGCCCTGCCCAAGTCCTGGATCCTTTTCTGAGTTTGCCGGCCGGTGTAGCCGGGAATTTGCTTGCCTCGCTGGCCGAAGGATTTCAGGATTTCGGCACTTGACCACTGGCCCCCCTATGTATGACCATGTCAAAGTCTAGGAGTCTAGGAGTAGGATGCTTCAATGAACAACTAGGATTTCAGATTCTCAAAAGAATAGACACGTCTGGAGCTTTATTGAAGAAACCGGCTCAATGTCATGGTAGCTACGAATCTCCGAAACACAACAGCTGGGTTTTTTCAGGCAAAATCTCAGACCACTGACTCGCAGCCGTGGTGTCAGAGAGTGGAAAAAAAGGACTCCAAATCCACAGGGTTCCCTACAAAAAGCCTATGATCTATGACCATCTATGACCTATGTCTCTTTCTACCCCAAATCACTTCAGCTATCGCAGCTTCCTGGTCTTCCTTGCGTGGCGGAACGTCCCGTTGATGGCCATCACTTGGCTCCCTTGCTGCAATGCTCACGCAGTTTGGCGGCATGGCCATCACGCTCAGGCCTGCAGCACAGAAAATCATCAGTCGTGTCTACGACTCAAAATGATCAACATTCGAAATTAGCGTACTGATATTACTATATTATATACAACCCGGAAAAAAAAAAAAGAACCGGAAATGGGTTGGATGTATGATTGGTGCATGGGATTTGCCATGTACCTTGGACTCAGCTTTTTCGCCAGGTCCAGCCTCTCGGCCGAATTTTCCGCATGGAAGTGCTCCACCAGGCGACCTGGGATGCCAAACTCCGCGGGAAAGATCCGCACAGCAAAACCCAGAAATACCCAGAATCTCATCATCAATTTGTCGGATCCTCCTGCAACCTCATAAATCAAAGTTTGGCATAGTTTCATAAATCGGAAGAACCCCCTTGACTGTGGGGCGGACATGTCGGATCCTCCCGGTGGTTTTCCGTCACTGTTGAACTCTCATTTCGGGCTCATCTCCTCACGATTTGAAGGTCCTCATCCCCGAAATGTCGTCGAAACAAATCTCCATGTGACCTGGAAGGTGACTGTTCAATGAGAAAAAAAACACCAAGGAATTCGCCACTTTTCAGAGGGCTTTCCCCTCCACCGAGGTCCCGACTTCTCGGCAGATCATCCTGCTGCGTCACGGCCTGGATGCGCGGAACGCCAAACCAAGCATTTTGGATGCGAAGAATGTGATTTTTTTAGAAAAAAAGTTGGCAAAAAAAACTGGTTACTAATTGCATCTAATTGCTAGATGTTGGTTCTTGAAGATATAGTTTTATCTAATTTGAAACCACAAATCAAGTCGCCTTGGCATAGTTTCTACCATGTTTGTGATATCCACTTCTTTTTATGGATACATTGCTGGGTTTCTGACCTACCATTTCCACATATGCTTTCCAATATGCCTCTGGGTACCCCGAGACCCAACAAATCTTCTCCACATTTGCCTTGTCTAATGCTCTATACCCCTAAATCCACTGCTTGATCTATATATTTCCACTATTTTCCCCAACCGACATTGCTTACTGGTGCGAAACGTAGGGAATGGAGGGTTGCTGAGGGTTGCTGGGATGATTACTACTAGTGATGAAATGGATCATTCCCGAAAATTCCCTGCGTTTATCAGTAAGATTGCCATTTCGAAAGTATACCCCATTCTCATACACATCCACTCGTAAGACAGCTTCGAGGTCGTGACTGGGAAGGGCTCTGGCTGCGGTGTTCGCTCAGCAATCGCTCGGCCAGCCTGAATGGTCCGGGTTTTTTGAAGGGAATATCCACAGGAAATCAGGATGTTTACCATCCAAATGTGATGTTATATATATATATATACACATGAAATCAATGCTTTTATATGTTTTTACCATCCAAACTGTTCTTTTGTAATCTTCTGTTCCTTTTCATTCCTGTTCAATGAATTCTGTGAGCGGTTGCTAAAAATACAGGTCAGCTGCAGCAGATCATCTCAACTGTAATTTCATATTGAATCATCATGCGAATGGTTGATGATTAAAACATCTTAAAACAGTCACAGTTGAGATGATTAAATTGATATATCATATTTCAAATGGTTAATGGTGACTGTTTTAACCATCGCAAATATATGAGTCAACTGTTTGCAATCATCCCACGCACAAAAAGAAAAAACAGTCACAGTCCCACGAACTTTGGCCCCTCTGCCCGTCAAAGGTCAGTTCGTGGCACGAAATGGTTTGAGGGTACAGGCGGTACAGCAACCCCCAAAAGAATAGAAAAGTACGTTCCCATGATTTTAGCAATGTTTTATTTTCTATCTTTCTTGGTATTGCTATAGTCTTCGGATAGAGAAATAAAACGGGAAAGCCATCATCCCCGAACTTGGCGATGATTTTCCACCAGCATTTCCGAGTCAAAACAGCAAAGTCAAAGACAGACATCGCCAACAGAAAAGGTGTTTTTCTTGTGACATCCGGTCCAAAGCCATGGTCTCAAACGGTCCGAACGTGGTCACCAAAAAAAAAATAACCGCAGCTGGTCCTGTTACCCTCTGGTTATGACTGACATAGCCATGGGATTTCGATGGCCCTAATCGAAATAGATGGTTTACCTATCAAAAATGGTGGATCTTTCCATGGCAAACTATTTTTCATAGCCAGATGGCACCTCCTGGGGCCAAATTTTGATCCAGCTCGAGCCCTGCGAGCCCGTCCCTTGAGGCATGGTGCCATTTTGCAGGTGTGGATGATGCCACCGCCATGGATGTTTTCCGCGTGCTTGCCAGGCCTCAGATGGAGACTCCCAGCACTGGAAAAGATCATGTGAATACTCTGGTAATTTCACATAGCTATGGAAAATGGCCCATTTATCCCATTTCGTTCGATGAGTTACCCATTCGTTAATTTGTGATGTCCCATAGCTATATCGGTGCAATTTTCATTGGGAATTGACGTGTTTCTGAAAGGCTTGGGAACCACACACATACCCGCTGTAGCCCGGGATGGTCGGAACCTACAAGCTGCCGGTGGGGCCAGAACTGTAAGGTCCGTCAAAATGACAGATGGAGTCAAGTCACAACACTTGGGTTCCAAGGATCTTCCTTTGCAGCTTTCATGGCTTTGGATTTCTCAAAACGGATGGGAACAATCTGGTTGAATCCAGAGGTGCGGGGTAATTCGATGTACTCCAGCGTATAGCTAGCAGTAACTGGGATAAGAATGGATAAGATAAGGCTTCTACATGGTGAGATGTAGGGATCAGGGGCTATGCTGGGCACTTGGGGCACCTGGAGATGGTCACAGCATCTTCCAGTTATTCAACACTCGTCTCTGAAATGACCCAAATGGTCTGCAAGGAAAACATAAATCCCAAAAACCCAAGGGTTGCAAGATGTTTGCATACCTCCAATTGAGTCGCAAAAAAATAGTGACCCCTTAATACAGCCATTCTAGCCAGCTTTAGATCCCAGTTGTACGGTCGATACCCTGCATGGTTTCTCTGTTGGCAACTGCTTCGTCAATTTCCCAAGAGGAAATTGAAAAATCACCCATCCCTTGATAGTCGCATTGAAAGAGAAAAAAACGCACCTGAAACTCCATCAAAAGACTTGAATTGAATTCCATAAAAAATCCCCATGTTATCCACATGTTTCCGCCAAATCTCTATATGTTTCATGGCGAACTCCCCCAAAAAGCCAGGGTTTTAGCACTTTAGTCCCATTTCATCCACATGTTTCGTGGGGAAAAAATCCACAAAAACATCCCAACCAACCTGTCCGGTCGACGAAATCCGGGCTTCCAGACCCAGTAGGGTCTCACTATCTCGGCCTTGGCCTTCCCCAAGGGGTGCGGGTCCGGTGCCGGATCGGTGAAGCGATCCTCTGGGTGGGGTAACGGATGCTGTTGCCTCGGCATCGGCCGAGCCATGCCATGAAGAAACTCAGAAAATCCCCATGGAAACCATGGGAAATGGTGAGTTAAACCAACCAAATGGGGGTTTATCATCATGTTTGCCCCATTACAATGGCCAGACATTGAGGAAACCACTATTTAATCCACATTCTATGTGTCAACATAAGTCTCACGACAGTTGAGCATGTCCAGACTGCACAGGTTTTCATGACAGGCACCCTGCCGTGTTGTTGGCTCAACACGCCCATTTGCAGGGCCCTTGAGCGCATAGCTGCTACATGGCGGTTTAACCGCACCAGCGAGACGGAAAACACAGAGGAGAACGCTGCTTGGACTACAAGGACTAGCAGGTGCAGGGCTGGGTTGACTTCGTGTGCAACTACCAGTTCATTGACACTATGGTTATTGTTGCATCACAGATCTGGGGGTTCGGGCATTTTAGAAAAAAATAGGGATTGTTGGTGGAAAATGAAGGGACTAACATCATATATGAATAAGTATGAATAAGTTGTGGTAATGCACTAGCCTAAAATTGTGAGGCGTTTTTACCCTCCGGTAATTAAACATGAGCTGCGAAATCCTCATCAAAAATTAGCGTTTAAATGGGAAAATCATCTGTACTCTAGTACATTTGCCATTGCCATCTTTGATTGCCAAAGGTAATAAGGGAAGGAAATAAAGAAAGCGCCTTTATTTTTGGGTCATGTTTCCCCACAGTCCTGTGTTCTTATCGCACGTGTTCAATGTTTTCCAGAGATTTCCAGTGTGAGAATCAATAGCAGTTGAATATTTCAATACTTGTGTGTTTGGGACCCTCTGGTAATTTAACGTAGCTATGGAAAGATCCACCATTTTTGATGGGAAAACTCACTATTTCAATGGCCATTTTCAATAGCTATGTAAACGTTTACCAGAGGGTACATGTTTTTTAATATCTTCCAGTTGCAATATCTTTTTGTTGCCCGTTCTAATCAGGTTCCACACAGCAGATGCAATCTGCTAACCCATCACCCATTCCACCGTAAACATGGTCAAAAGATGGCTATAGAATTATCTACAATGGGGTGGAGCAACCATCTGGTTACTGGGATAATAACTCTCATTCATCTCCTCAATTCTTATCACTAAGTTAGACGAGAGTTGTATTATGAGAGTTTTATTATCCCATTAACCATTATATCTGGGTAAATTATAATATGTCACCAACCTGAACTAAGGCCATTTGGGGATCATTTCCCTTACTAACCATGATTCCAGTGAGGGAGAACAGTGAGGTCGTTATAATTTACCCAGATTATATAGTTATCTCACCATTAATTAGTTACAGTAATGGTTATTTAACATAGCCATGGAAAATCACCATTTTTAATAGGTAAACCATCTATAGATGGGCCATTTTCCATGGCTATGTTAAATAACCATAGGGTAATGGTTGATGGGATAATCTGGCATCTGGCATCTGGCTATCTGGCGCTAGGCTCGCGACGAGGCTCGCAGGGATTCGTGCAGCGCCGCGCGGCGCTGGTCCATCTGCCACCTCGTCTTAGCAATCCAATGTGGCTGGAAAATCGCCACATTGGAATTGGAGGTTTCAATGGGAAAAACATGGAAAATGTTATGCAAATAATTGCAAATATTGGAAAAATGCCGTTATAAATGGAAGTTTATAGCTAGGAAAATCATATATAAACAGGCAACTGTCCATTGCCACGTTTGATTACCGGAGGGTTTATGTGGATGATTCACTAGGTTGGTTTAAGATGTGCATTCGGAACATGTTCGGGAAATGCAATGGTCCAATTTGGCCTTCCGAATTTGTTGAGTGTCCCGTAAATTGCCCCTTCAACAATATCCCATCCAATGATACTGGTTGCTTGATCCACTGAAATGGGTTATATATCTCTTGTATCATGATCCACAATAAACCAGGCAAGTTAACAACAACAACAACAACGACAACAACAACAACAACAACCCTCGATGAACATAACCAATCAACAGTTGGGGAGTTTTAATGGCTCATCAACCCATCCCCGATGAAAATACATGAAAATCATCCAGGCGTCAGCAAATATCACAAAAAAAGTCTAACCATCATGAATATTTCAAAAATCATGTCCAGCACCCATATGAAGACTAGAGATCCAGGCCAAATAATTCATCAAAATGCGGTCCGACCATTTAGGGTAACTCAACTACCCCAATCCAATTCCTATGAGATCACGACGTGAGGTCCCAGGTCGTTCATCCAGATCAAGCATCGGTACTGCTATGGCATTAGTATCAAACATTCACAAAATACCATCTGGTTATGACTAACAGTTTGCCATGGAAAGATCCACCATTTTTAATAGGTAAACCATCTATGAATGGGCCATTTTCCATGGCTATGTTAAATAACCAGATGGTAATTGAAACCATGATCCGCATCTTCTAGAATCATAACCAGGCAATATTTGAAAAATATATAAACAACAATATACCCATGATATTCTCATAATTCTCCAAGTAGGACCCATGATATATTCCGGCGATATTCCCATTACATTCCGATGGTATTCCCATCAAAGGTCCCACTCATTGCTGACTATACTACCCCTATGTTTCATGTTCAACAGCCATATTCCCTGCTGAACACGATATATATCAGAGAGGGTATACTCCAACATTAGAATGTATAATGTTTCGGATCAATACCCTATTACCCTCTGGTAAACTAACATAACTATGGAAAATCACCATTTTCAATGAGTAAATGCACTATAAATGGTCAATTTCAATAGCTATGTTAAATTACCAGAGTGTAATTTAATTAGAAAGATGAATCAGGTCCAATATCCTCATGATATCCCCATTCGATCAACCAAATCCCCATTGAAAAACACACATGAGCAACTCTCTGTCGTTCCGTTGTACTTGTTGGTTAAGAACGGCATTCCCAGCTCAGGGATTGTAATGATCCCCAAGAAATATCAAGGGTAGTAGAACACCCGAACTAATCATCAATCAACAATCATTTACCAATGATATCCCATATGTTTGCTGGTTTTCCATCCCCATTCATGAGAATCAACCAACCCACATGTATAAGTTATATAAGTTATATCCACTTAATTCCACCCTTATTTAAATCCCCATAATTTTATTGTGAAAACCGCTCTTTTGAAGGTTTTGAAGGCTCAAATGAATGAAGTGCGGTAGTCTTTGCCACCATTCTTCCAGGTTTTCGCACTGCTCTTCTCTGGCGCCGGCACCCACGGCCGCTTGAGTTCGGCCATAGATGTCCTGTCAATTTGTCTTCGCAGAAACGCTTGGGAGATACGTTGGGGATTTTATGTGATTTTATGTATGTTGAAATACCTTCCATAGAGTACATTTGAGTGATTTGGTCGAATTTTTGGTGATTTTTGACCGAAAACATGGTGCTGTCTTCCATGAAGTGAGTGTGAGATGTATGAAAATGCCAGCCACTGGCTGCAAGATCAAGTCATTTCAAGTCCCTACATGACCTCCATCCACTAGCTAAATGTCTTCTGGTTGTTCTGATCCCATCCGAAGTTCTTCATGGGTTCCTGCAAGTACTCCATGATCTTTGGTTCAAAGCACCAGCACATGCCCCCGGCCATGGGTATGGATGGTGGCCCGTGAGCTTTCCAACGTCAGGCCGCCCTAGGCCCCACCAGTGGCTTCAAACCCTTTGTTGCCTCCGCTTTGGCAGAGGGAATAAAGCCCGTGTAGCCAGGAACACGAGCGTTCATGCCTCGATGATGAAGACCCCACCGGGCTTTCACTACTACAAATGTCATGAGGAATAAGTATAAGGTGCACTAGTATAATGCAAAGGGATCATAATAAGAATCAGTCTATACCAGGTATAAGTATAAGGGACTTTAATCCAATCATAATTACTTACCCAATGGGTCACAGTAAAAAACAATCCAATTGCAGCATCCACTCTGTTAATTATAAGGGGATACTTCCTGGAAGGATCATCCCCGCCAAAAACATCCTGACCCCGAAGTATGTGGATGTTTCCTTTATGCCAATGAAAGGGAAAGATCAAATCCAACCCCTATCAAGAACATTCAAGAACTACCTTATGAAAGAGCTCATCAATCTGTAGTTCAACATTCCAACAAATGTGGGGTTGTCTGAAAACCGGGTTACCAGGGTAAATCCACGGTTAGTCATGTATTTCCCTATCAAACTTGCCATTTGGGATGTATACCCAATTTTCAGACACACGCCCATATTCCAACATCATCTATTCTGTTCTTGTTTGAGAGCATGCTCACAATTCCACCTTTCGATGGTCCCTCCCGCTTTTCGCCCGCGAACGAGCCACCCCCATCTTGAACAATCAGTCGCAAACCAGATAGTAGAATTACGGCCAGGACGGGTGTGCTGCCCGGGGAAGTGCGTTTTGACTGCGCAGGGCCAGTGTTTTATGAGATTCGGGATGTCGTCCATCTCCCCAGATGGATGACGAGATTGGGTTCCAAAACACGAAACCCTAAACCCTAAATCCAAAACCCCAAAACCTAAATCTAACATGAAACCCTAAGTACGCCTTGAAAGTATTTTGTTATTAAAACCGTGGTTAAAAAAAAAACTAAAAACCCTAAATGAAACCCGAAATGAACCTTAAACAAACCCTAAACAATCCCTAAACAAACCCTAAATAACTTTAAACAGTTGGTCACATGATGAACCTTCTGGCGACACTCCCGGCGTGGGGGTAGAATTACTGATGACTCTGGTAGATATCTTACCAAACTATTTACCCAGTGGAAAATCAAGAATTTCTAGATGATTTTCCACTGGGCCTAGGGGTTTCCCAAAGGTTTTCCACATCTTCATGAGTTTGCCTTAGGGCAATTCACAAAACATGGTTTTTCTATGTTCTCTCTGAAAATGATTCCCCCTATTACCCTCTGGTAATTTAACATAACTATGGAAAATCACCATTCTTAATGGGAAAACTCACTATAAATGGTCATGTTCCATAGCTTTTTGTTAGTTTACCAGAGGGTAAGCATCATCTTCATCCTCATCGCTCGTCGTTTTAGGTCGGCCGCTTTTTTTTAGACCCGAGACTTCGAATTCTGAGGTTCCCCGCACTGATCACCCACCGCACGTCGAGCACGCTCAAGTTTCTCCTGGCGGAACGTGTTTCGGGCCGGGCCGGGGATCCACCAAAACAGAGAAGAGGTGAAACCAAGTTGGGATGAGATGGTGATGGAGGTACCCTCTGGTGATGTCAAAATAGCTATTGAAAATCACCATTTTTTGTGGATTTTCCCATTGAAAATGGTGATGTTCCATAGTTATGTTAGTTTACCAGAGGGTATTCAGAATGGTCTTTCTGAAATCATGAATCAAAGAATTCCAACCTCTTGATTTGTCTAGCGAAAAATGGACCTATATCTAATCTTCTTGGAGTTTTTGGGGTTCTCCAAGAAAAGGGGCATCATAGCCATACAACATAAATTATAACCTCCAAAGAAAGGAAAACATATCATGATGTATCACTGTTTCACAGAAATGGATTTCAGCAAAATCCATCTTCTTTGGAGCTACTAAGCCCATCCCCCTAAAATTAGAGAGCCCCATTCGATGGTTCCAAATAATTCCAAATAAGTGTTGTTTCCCCCCTACATCCAAATATATAGAAAAGGTTCAATTTACCACCCTTTCAGTTGGATTTTGCCAAAGCCTATCTTTTCTGGGTATGAATCCATTGGTTGATTTCCCATCGATGATTTTAAAATCTTCATTTTTTATATATTATGTCCCATATTTTCCCATATTTGTTACCATATTTTATCGACCAACGTGGCCCTGGCTTTGGCACCTGCGGCACTTCAGGTGCCCCTTTGGCTGGTCGCCAGCGCTGGTCCTGCGGGTCCGTAGCAAACGATTGAATTACCAGAAGGCAAATCCCTTTATGATATAATTTCAGAGTTCTAATTTCTGCAGATCGATGGTTTCAGGGGAAAAATCATGTAGTCATCAAAAAATGAACTATATGGCTATGTTCATAGATATGTGTATACGTACACATACTAACCATAGCTATCCATACAGTATAGATTGTAAATACCCTCCGGCATTCAAATGTGGCAACGGGAAACCCCCTATACATGGAAGTTTTCTGGCTGGGAAACCCATCTGGACAGAGGGTATACCCCCAATTACGGCAAAGGGAAAATTGGGGAGCCCTGAAGAGCTAAGTTGGTTTACAATTTGTTTAACTAGGTATGTCTGAAAATGGGGTATACCCCCAATTATAGCCATTTAGTAGGGATAATGATCATTAACCATTGGGTGTAGGGGTACACTATTTTCAGACAAACCCAACTAGGGTTTATGGGAGGCATAACTATCGTTGATGGAGGTATGGAGGTTCTACACCTACAAACATAACTAGGGGCCCCCGCCTTGTATGATTTTCAGGCACCAAAACCATTTGAGCCACTACAGATACCCGGTTTTCCCATCTCAATACTACTTGGTTGATAGATTTCGCATATATATAAACCATAGTTGTAGCCATATGAACCATAGTCAATCATGATTATTCATGATCAACCATTAGTAACCATTTTTGGGAACCATTGTTTCATCATCATGTCACGAATGCTAATCATGATTGACCAATATCACCTGGTTGGTGGTATACCTACCCCTCTGAAAAATATGAGTTGGTCAGTTGGGATGATGACATTCCCAACTGAATGGAACAATAAAATTCCATGGTTCCAAACCACCAACCAGATTTGATATCTGATGATATCTGGATTTGTGTATTTCACATGAATTCACCATTTTATGGGCATGGGATATGAAGCAACAATGGTGAATTAAGCCATCATTTTCTGTTTGATCTTCGTTCATTCTTAAATGGCCTCGACGACTGGCTCTCGCCTCCGCGGGCCGGTCTCGGGGCGCATTCAGCGAGGTGATGCCCATGGGGCGCCATGGACTCGGTGAAGACGGGTAGAGCTGGAGATGAAGATATCACGGGTTGACATATAATATTAATATCTACCTTTGTATATATATAATTATATATATACCATCTATCTATCTATCTATCTATCTAGCTAGCTAGCTAGCTAGCTTTCTGTCTTTCTATATTGCAATATGTGTAAATATGTTATTTATTCGTTTATCTACGTATTTATTTGTTCATTTACTATTTTGTTCATGCATTTGCTTATATTTTTGTGTTCGTTTTTTGTACCTATTTATGTACTTATGTTTTGTTTATACCGTATTTATGCCATGTATATACTTGGACAGGTAGATAGATAGATAGATAGATAGATAGATAGACAGATAGATAGGTAGATAGATAGATAGACAGATAGATAGATAGATAAATAGAGAGAGAGAGAGCGAAATAGAGAGATAGAGAGATAGGGAGATAGAGACATAGAGAGATAGCGAGATAGAGAGATAGAGACATAGAGAGATAGAGAGATAGAGAGATAGAGAGATAGAGAGATGGAGACATAGAGAGATAGCGAGATAGAGAGATAGAGGGATAGAGACATAGAGAGATAGCGAGATAGAGAGATAGAGACATAGAGAGATAGAGTGATAGAGAGATAGAGAGATAGCGAGATAGAGAGATAGAGGGATCGAGAGATGGAGAGATGGAGAGATTTAGATATCGATGTAGATTCAGATGTTGATTTAGAGTTAGACTTAGATTTAGATTAGATAATAGATAGATTCATAACACAAGTGAGTGAAAGGCAGCCAATCAGCTTTATATAATGGGCATGCGTATAAATATGCGAACCATGTGTATATGGCCATGGGTCAAAGATTTTTTGGGCTACAATTTTTTCATGGCACAGAAATGGGTAAGTGAACACCGAACCTACATCACCTGTTCTGTCAATTCTGGCACCCTTGATCCTAAACTCCTAAACCTTGATCCTGAAGTAGGGAAAAATATGGACAAAATATGGAAAAATGACATTGGTCCCAAAATCACCATTAGCGTGGCACATTGCTTTGCGGACTTTGGTGTTGCACCATTCTGGAAGATTCGAAGAAACAAGACATCTGCTGCTTGGTGGGAGAAACCTACCCTCTGAAAAATGATGGACTTCGTCAGATTGGATCATCATCCCAACCTATTGGGGAAAATAAAAAATTCCATGGTTCCAAATAAACCACATTCCATGGTTCCAGTCACCACCAACCAGTCTGAACATGGCTGACCCTCCGACAGAGCACGTGATTTCCAGCCGGATGATAGCAATGATCATCCCCAAACCCATGACGGATCCATGGTGCTGGTATATATGCTAACATAAAGGGGATATATTGATGGGATCCATGTTACCATATATAGCAGCACCATGGATCCGTCATGGGAAATTCACACACCGAGTCGAAGCCCGGAACAAAAAAATCGCCAGGATCCTAGGAGGATCGGCACCAGGGGATCCCCACGCAAGCTCCTCATGTGGCATGTCTTGCTGCGGTGTTTTTCGCCTAGGAATCCAGCGACCAGCGACCAGTCGCGTCTGTGTCGTTGTGGATCAAAGGGTAAGTCCCACCCATTGGTTCTTCTGCGACGTTGTGGTGCAAGATGTTTCACGAATTCTGCAGTCAACCACAGTTTGATCCAAAAACACCGGACCATCGAAGCATCGATGATGGAAATCTGAGGGGTAACCGTGTAACCCTGACCGGAAGCATTGCAAGTTGATGACATCTAAGTGTGCGGCAGATCAAGACGCTGCAGGGAACGCGGGTAGATGAGAGCCCAAAAGGTGCAGGGAAAGAGGTGAACAATGGTGAACAGCTGCCCTGGTACGGTAGTTCGGTGAACATCCATTATCAAATATGGTATCATAAGTTTTGCTCACTTCCGGTTTCAAAAATACTTTGGCAGTAAAGAATCCCCATGAAACGGTTCACGGTAATACAGATAATACATGCGTAGTTGAATTGCCTGGCGGTTAAATGACATGCTGCACATGGCACTACATGAAGAATCCAACGTCAACTTGACAAATGTCCAATTGAGGCAAGGGTATGGTATGCAGAATGTATGCAGCCTAGATCTGATAAGCAGGTAGGAATTTTGGAGCACTAGAATCATTGAAGAAACATCAATGATGACCGAAAAAATAAGACGACAACAGTATTCACAACATCCAAATAAGAGTATATAAATAAGAGATAATAAGAGTACAGTAACTCTAGGCATTCGGCATTCATATTTACTAAGATATACTAAGCATACCTGGGCCATGCCAACCAGAATCAAATGCTACATCCCCAAACTTCAGGGGCTTTTCTCATGCAGAGCGCGACGACTCTTTCTGCGTCTCCCACGGTATAAAGGTTGAAGCCTGTTGGCACACTCCTTGGTATGAACAGCTTGTTGACCACACATCACAAGATATCTCTGCATTTGCTGCGCTGTAAGAAGCCCTTTCTCGAAACCGGACAATGCATGGCTTTGAACATCTTTGAACCTGGTTTCTGAGATGCCAAACCACCCCAGGCACCGTTGCTTGGTATACGGCACCCTTGCATGCAGCTCCGCTCGGGGTCCTGGGAGGCAAAGAAAACCCAAACATCGCCTGAAATCGACCGGAACTGTCCTGAAATCGAGGAGAAAACTTCAGGAAACATCTGATGTGACACAACAGCACTGAACTTGGATGATTGGAAATGTTTAGAAGATCTGTGTCCCATTTTCATCCGAATCCTCATAGCTTTTGCATGAAGCTTTGGACTTCAAGCCTCAGAACTGCACAGGATGTTTCAGCTCCCGGCTTTCCAGCAATGATTGGACAGCCCGACCTCGTGAGATCTTGCTGAAGCCAGGGCTCATTTGCACCACAATCTTGGCTCGCAGATGTGCAAGCCCCATGGGACCTGGCACCATCTTCTGTCAATAAAGCAGGCGGCATGATCTTTCATATATATATATTATCTTTCATGTGAAAAGTTTACAAAGTTCACACCTCTTCAAGCGTTCGGCTACTGTATTCTTCAAAACATTGCAAACCGCAAGCACTGGAGATCTCAATGGTGATTTGTTGGATGAATAAATTCAATGTAACACATGGAACCTTGCCCTGCTCGCCACCGACCTTGCAACCCTATGGCTCAATGTAAGAGCACGGCCAGGGGCTTCATCGGGCCTATCGCAGCATATCAAGTCAGTTGAGAGTAATTTTTACGTAAGCAAAGAGAATATATCCTCAAATCTGATTTGATGAGTCTGAGGTAGCTTTGAAAGCGAGACCGTGTCAGACAGTGTCAGAGCTGAGATTCCAAATCCTTCAAAGAGGTTTTTACGAAGCTTCCACGCGACTGACAGGTGCAACTGGCTCCTTTCTCTCAGCTGTGAGGATTGGTGCGGTCATCTCTTCTCAGCTGTATCAGCTTCGAAGGCGTTTCAGTGAAAAGCCGTTGTTCGTTGCGATCTTCCATGCCCCCTTAAAGACTTTGATCCACTTGTCTTCGTTGTTGGCGAACTTTTTGATCGATGAGTACGCTGGACCTTCAGGTTTCAAAGGAAGGCCGCAGTCGATCACGGCATCCGAGACCTTATCAAACTCGGCTCCGCAGCAGATGGCTCGCTGCAATTTGAAATTGTCCTTTCCGGGGATGTCGGTGCTGCCGCAAAAATGCCCGTTCTCATATTTGGTGATGGCAGTACTTATAGCTGCTGGAGTACCCCAGGCGCACTCGCAGCCAGCCTCTGCCGCGGTAGCAGCATCAAGCTCAACAGCACCTTCATCATCCATTGAAAAAGCTAAACCTTGGATCAGCTTGGCTCCCACTAGATTCACCCAACACATTTTTTTTGCCTTTAAATGCCTTTAAAAAATCACCGGCGAAGCAAAGCCAAGAAACACAGGTCGGTGTTCAACATCATCTCTTTGCCAAGGGCAGCTTCATCTGCTCCGGAATCCGCTCGCTTCCATTGATTCTTGGCTGGATTCCCTGCAACTGAAGCCTCCGGTGACCAGCCCTTGGCCAAGATTGACACGAAATAATCATTGTTGAACTTCCGGCTCATGAGTGCTGAGCTCCACCAACCATTGTACCCAGAATTGCTCACCTGTGCCCTCCCCAGTGTGTGAACTCCCATCAGGGCTGCAGCTTGAGCCCAAGTCAGACCCATGCTGTCGACAAAGGTCTCCTTGACTGCTGAGCAGCTGTTCTCTGGATTGGGCAACCTGCCATGTGCAAAGTCACACGTTGTGGCGGTGGTGCGGCCGAACTTGAACTGGGACCTTGGCTGGCAGAGTCCTCCGAAAAAAACAAAAAAAAACAAACGGTGGATGTTTTCAGCGGGAAAACCAAGAATCACCGGCTAAGCAAAAGTAAGAGACTTGAAGTCAATGGTGGATCGGCTGCTGTCTTCTGCTGTCACATGCTCACGAGATGCAGTCATGACTGCTTCGGCAGCAATGACAAGGAAATCAGCCAAGGAGACTGACTCACAGAAATCCTCATAGGCGTCTGCGATGGAGATGCCAAACTCCCCTGCATGGAGGCATTCAGCTAGCCCCGAATTGTCAGCATCTGTGAGGTCCACGCAGCCATCTGCACCTCCCTCGCCATCCTTGTAGTCCATAAAATCATGCCCAGCCATCCGCAAGACGCATCCGGCCCAGTCAGCTTGTGGACACTCGGTTGCCGTGCACGTGCTTGGTAAGGATTGGTAGAGGCCTTGGACCTTCAAAGTGATACTGTCATAGTCCGCCTCCGTCATATGCTGAGTCGTCATCGCCTGCCAAGTGGACCAATCATCCCATCTGCAAAAGGGAATCCAAGAATCGATTCCTATCCGTATCAAAAAATCAAGCCGTAAAATGCCGTAAAACCAATCCCATAGGATCCATGTATGGTATATATGCTAACATTGGGGATATATTGATGGGATCCATGTTACATGTTACCATATATAGCAGCACCATGGATCCGTCATGGGAATGCAAAACCAATGCAACACCAGTAGTTTTTTCACTTGGCATTTCTCACCTGGGTGCCCACGCAGCGCATCATATAGTACGGGCTGGCCCAAGTTGTTGTTGTCGTTGTCACTTGCTGCTGGCCCATGGCTTTGTCGACCTGTAGCAAGCCATGGCCACTGCTGGAACAAGCGGTGCCAGAACAATCAAAGGTACTCTCGCACCGCAGAAAGATGCCAAAGATGACATGAAACCACGACATTGACGCCATGGCCGCCTCGGGACAGTTTTTTTATCAACAGGAATAAAGTGGATTAAAACTGCATAATGATGCAAATCGGCTTGAGCCGAAATCGGGACGTGTGCCACGATTTCTGTGCAACTCCATGTATACACACATCAGACATCAGACCAATCAACGAAGACAAGTAAACCATCCAATTCCCTGCAAAATCATTGTGACGACCATGACCCATGGGACACTTCCCCCGAGGATTTGGAGATTTGCAGTGAACACTTGGAAGCAACCTTGAGGCCCGCTCGGGCACCTGGATGGACTCCAAACGGAGCACTCTCTCTGCCGAAAGACATCAAAGGATCATCAAGATGTGCCAAACATTGGAGCGACTATGCGACAGAATGGGCTGGATGGGCTGAAACAAATCTACTCAGCAAGCATGGCCCCTGTAGATATCTGTAGATCTTCTTGCCGAAAAGGGCGCCACGCGGCAATCTTGACATGATTTATATATATATATATATATTATTTATATCAGAATCCCATAGGATTCATGGTGCTGGTATATATGCTAACATAAAGGGGGTATATTGATGGGATCCATGTTACCATATATAGCAGCACCATGGATCCTATGGGTATCAAGTACTATCCGAAATAACGAGGACCAGGAGCATCCCCGTGTTTGGTGAAACTTCCAAGAACTGCAGAATCTGCCGTCAAAAACATGGGGCCTGGACAGGTAGCCAGGTAGGCAGCACGCTGCTCACGTCTGCTGGAGCTCTCCTTGCAAAAAGCCAAGGTCGTCAGCAAATCAGGCTAGTGATGGATTGTCACTGGCAGTATCTGTCGAGGTAAAAGTTCGAAACCAGGTGCCTTCCCAGAAGTTCTCCCGGGTCTCCAATACTGCAGAAATTTCAGTCAAGATGGATGGATGGGTCAAAATTAGATACAAATTGGGAGGCTTTACCAGCAAAATGGCAAACACACGTATCCCTTGTGAAAATGTGAGACAGGTCCATGTTTGGAAAATAACGTAGGAACGATGTAGAAACAGTAGGTTCTCGCCTGACAGCAAGTGATGTCAACAAAACCTCCCACAACAGCCGGTGTTCCTGTATTAAGGACCAAGCAGATCTTGCACCCAGCTGTATGCCTCAAGCGGCAAGGTCCTATGACCTACGCTAGTCGCGTCTGGTGCCGGTGTGGATTCTGCAGACGACCCTAAGTTTGAAGCAAAAATAGACCATCGAAGCATCCATCATGGAAATCTGGGGGGTAACCCTGACCCCAAGAAGCCACCATCAACCAGGTCTTCTTCAGCTACCAAGCATTGCAAGTTGATGACATCTAAGTGTGCGGCAGATCAAGATGCTGCAGGGAACGCGGGTAGATGAGAGCCCAAAAAGGTGCAGGGAAAGAGGTGAACGGGCCCAGATTTGGGCATGGAAGGGTTTCAAGGAGGGCAACAAATCAACAAAACAATGCCAAAAAGCTTAAATAGAAGCTCAAATGGGTAAGGGACGAATGTAACTAGACCATGACATGGTGAAAAGTAGTTTAAATTTAGTAGTGAAAAAAAAACAACAACCCGTTCTTGAGTGGTTCAAAGAAATACCTCAAATACCACTGGCCTCAAACACCATTCAAGATTTCGACATGAAATTGCTAGCACCGGTTGGGAATGAATGAAAGCTCTGATAGAATAGTTTGGCAAACATTCATCCATTACCAAGTGTCGTATCGTAAGCTTTGATCACTCCCGGTGTCAAGAATATTGACTTGTTCAAGGCAATACATCGGTACTTCAATGTTGCCTGCTAAATGACATGTCGCATGTTGCACTACACGCAGAGCCTAACGTCAACTTGACAAGTGTCCGATTGAGGCAAGGGTATGATATGTAGCCTAGATCTGATAAGCAGGTAGGAATTGGAATTCTATTGGAGCACTAGAATCATTAAAACAACACCAATGATGACTGTAAAAATGAGGACGAACATATTCACAATATTCAAACAAGAGCAAATAAGAGTAGTAGCTATAGACATATACTACCCTCTGGCTATTTAACATAGCCATGGAAAATGGCCCATAGAAATAGATGGTTTACCTATTCAAAATGGTGGATCTTTCCATGGCAAACTGTTAAATAACCAGATGGTAAGAATACCTGCACCATGCCAACCAGAATGAAACGTTCCATCACCACCAGCGGCATCGCGATGGACCCTCCATTTTTCTCACGGAGAGCGTGACGACTCCACCTGGGTCGCGACAGGAGCTCGTCCAAACACATCAGTTGGAGTCTGGCGGAAACCAACGGGTTCTTGTATCAATGGATTGGTTTTAAGGGAAAATCTACAGGAAACCATGGTAAATTACCATCAAATATAGGGCTTTCCGGTTAAAATTTTCCCATCATCCAATTCTATGATGGTAGTCCTCAAGTTACTTTCAGTCCCTATCATCTCAATGTGGACGATGGGACAGTCCGGCTGACACCCCGATCGCTCCCCGATCCCAAGGTATCCAAGGTCTAGGCGGCGGGGAGCTTGTTTGAAGCCAGTTCCCTGCCAGGTCCCAACCCATGGCTCGACCGACACACGGCCATGGTTGAACAACTGGCCACTGGCCGGAAAGCCAGGTTGGATGAAAATCCAGCCTCATCTCAGAAGCAAGCCTGGACGCATCTGACACATTGAGAAGTTCACCGGTTTTGGCCATGGTTTGAGACACATCTTCCCTTGAACCCATGGGATCCCGTGTTAGTCGTGTCAAATCTGTTGATCGTGTGGCGGCCATATCCCCATCGGTTCATAAAACCCCGGCCAAAGGCCCACCTGTCTGGCAAAGCCAGCGAACATCGTGCCTACAGTGGCAGTTTTCACGACTCCCATGTGGGGTACATCAACCTACCACAACAGGTGTACACCTCTAGATTTGATACACTAACAATTTCGCAGTATTCATCATCAACTATATGTCTGCCAAAAAAACGAGTCAGAGACTGAAACCTTTGACTAGATATCAATGAATATGATGATGACTAGGTGTTCAATAAATTCATGATATCTCATGATATCAACCTGTCATAATCAACTAATCAACCCAGTCCCCCACTTCCAGCTCCCGAAATGACATCTTGGGGTCCACGGGGCAACATCTCCGCCTGGAAGTCCGGGTTCATGAAGGCGGCGGCGATCTGTTGAAGTCCTGGGATCGCACCAACGGGGGGAATTTTGCAGCCATGGCTGGGATTACCCGGCCTGGTAAACATACAAAAAGCTATTGAAAATGGCCATAGAAATAGTGGATTTACCCATTAATAGCATGGTGATTTTCCATAGCAAACTGTAAAACGTTTACCAGAGGGTACTCGAGGATACTCCAGGGTACACATCACGGTCAACAAAACCCAATTTTTTCGTTGGCTTTGTACAACAAGAAATGCGTTGACTTCAAGCAGGGATATCAGATGATATCAGGATATCCCCGGAATTCTGCGGGCCAAAATCCCTGCTCCTTCTTTTGCCTTTGCTTTCAACTCGACCTCACGCACAGCCTCGGTTTTTTTCAACTCGGGCATTCGCCCTTGCCAGTCCAAACAGAACCCAGAGAGAGAATCTACCAGCTGCACGCCTCCTTCCACTCAAGAAAATGTGTGATATGTTTTCACCAGTCTGCACCTTAGTAACTTCGGAATAAGTATATCATTGATGATATATAAAAAGATATATAAAGATATTAAAATTATGTATGGAATGATCATATCTGGGCAAATTATAATAATTCACTAACCTGAATAGTTGGCCATTTTGGGATGATTCCCCTAAAATTAACCATCATTCCAGGGCTCGGGAGAACAGTGAGGTCGTTATGAAATTTACCCAGATCATATGTTATTATCAAATCATCAAATTATATGGAATATTATATGGAATATATTATCCAATCCTATGTTGAAGTGTTATATTCCAATATTATCAAATTATCATGGTTAAGTGTTATATTTCATTATTATCAAATTATCATGGTTAAGTGTTATATTCCATTATTATCAAATTATCATGGTTAAGTGTTATATTCCATTATTATCAAATTATCATGGTTAAGTGTTATATTCCATTATTATCAAATTATCATGGTTAAGTGTTATATTCCATTATTATCAAATTATCATGGTTAAGTGTTATATTCCATTATTATCAAATTATCATGGTTAAGTGTTATATTCTATTATTATCAAATTATCATGGTTAAGTGTTATATTCCATTATTATCAAATTATCATGGTTAAGTGTTATATTCCATTATTATCAAATTATCATGGTTAAGTGTTATATTCCATTATTATCAAATTATCATGGTTAAGTGTTATATTCCATTATTGATATATAACACCATATGAATATTATCAAATTATTCAACATACTATCATCCACCATCCCCCAGGCACCGGACACTGGTCAAGGCATTCACCTCCCGTCGGATCCGTCGCTGTGCCGTCGGATCTGTGGAAGTCTTAAGGGATTCCACCTTAACTTTTCTGAAAGGATCTTAAGTACTATAATGTACTATACATGTAGCAGTCAGACTCATAGTAATTCGACCCTTTTTTGAGTGGTAAAAAAAGTAAGTCGACTTTTTGAATCCTTTTGAAGTGTTTAAACCACAATCAAATCACATTGATCCTGAGAATCAGCAATTTTGAGAGGTATTTTTCCAATTGGGTCTATGTTCTTTGGGGAGATCGCAATTCCAAGAATCACGTGCAGTACAAGAAAAAACCCACCAAGCTCAAAATGCTGCGCCGACGTCGTTTGGCGTTCTGCATCAATGAATCGAAAGCTCATTTCTTCGGATGATATTCGCGTAGAAATGTAAGTGATAAGATAAGACAAAAAAGCTTCTTGTACATATATACATACATATATATATATTATTATTATATATATATATTATTATTATTATTATTATTATTATTATTATTATTATTATATATATATATTATATGCTATAATAACCATACAATCCCATACACTATACAGCTATAAAACTCAGCTAATTCTAGATGTCTAACCTGTCCCGTTTCGGCCCGCCGCACCGTTGTACCTCGGTGCTACTGCCGGCGCAGGCTTTGTGGAGCTCATCCAAACGTAGCTCGTCCACGTGCCGCAGCGACTGGGACACCAGGAAAACCAAACCACCGGTGGGGTGAAGGTCTTTAGCCAACCCCCAAAAAAAAGATCACTACCCTCTGGTAATTTATAGTGGATTTTCCCATTAAAAATGGTGATTTTCCATAGTTATGTTAGTTTACCAGAGGGTATTGATATAATGATATAATCTATGGATGTAATCCATTGATTGTAATTTATATAATGTAATCTATTGTCATCTATTGTTACTCCGATGAATCACTTTTTCTATCTTTTAAAAAATGCAACGTACAAGTTTGATCATCCCCAAGAAATCATCATCCATGATATCCAAATGCATAACGTGGTTAAAACATAGATCATATAGTGGATAAAACATATTGCAATATGTGGATAGGACAATCTGTAGGAATCTATATGTTTTAATGGATGATATCAATATATTCCCACATCTTTATCAAAAATATCAGAAAAAAAACTGTAGATGATGGCTACATCCCCTTCTGAAACCTCAGAAAAATCCACCAGGGCTGTCGTGTACAACCTGCATCCATCGTCGCTGAAGCTCTTCTGCTTCACCGATCCTCTTGGCCAGATCCTGCCAACAGAAGCATCCTGGCAATATGAGTAATACATATATCATGGCTATAGAATAAATGCTACATGTATATGTAGAATATACTGCATATAATGGTACATTTATAAATGCTACATTTATATGGTATATCATAGAAATATATATATATATCTAATGGTTATATCACGGGACATATCGCCAACATAGTTTTTGGGGGTGTCTGAAAACTGGAAATAATCCCAATTCTCACGTTTTGGCCACTTGAAGGTTCCGATAAACCGACGGATCTTGGCGGAGGTTCCCCAAAATTCTCAGACAGACCCAGTTTCCTTTCAATTTCACACCATACTTGGGTGGCTCATCCCACGAATCGTAAGTAGGTTAGTTCACCCTAGCTACAAGTGGATTCACCCACCTTATCGGACTAAAAAACAAGGGATACAACCTACTTAGGATTCGTGGGATGAGCCACCAAGTACACATGCACCAAAACCCAATGGCTTTCGATTTTTCGCGGCATCATCGCCCTCGCGTCGCTCCTGCAAATGCTTCTTTGCCACATGCATAAGCGCCAGCCTCGCCTTTCAGGACACAGCAGGTCTTTCAGCGCAGCTATGGACCAAAACCGACTCGGTTGAAATTTGGTGAAGGAATCGTAGGGTTAGCTCACCCCAGTTACAGGGTACTCACTAGGCAATGTCCAGCTATAATTTCGGTGACCTCGCTGCGTCCTCTCCGGAAGAGAGTTCCATCGCCTTTTTGCATATGTTTTTTTCTTCAGAAAGTCTTCCGGATTTATTATGATATGATGTATGTAAATCCTATGTTGAAATGTTGATATTATATAAAATATATGATATATGGTGTGTGATATATTATATATGATACATGATGTACGATCTGCATATATATATATATATACATATATAAATCATATACGTTGTCACATTAATATAGATTATAGATATATAATGTATATAATCATATAGTGTGTATATATATATATGTATATATAATTATATATATATAATCCTATCGATCTTGCAATCGCCAAAACCTTCCGCTGTTTTTTGCGCCCACCTTCCTGTCTCCGACTTTCAGACACCGAGCCTGGCGGAGCTGAAGTAAACTTTTGTCCAGTTCCTCAGGGCGTAGCGCAGCGATGCGCAGCGCACCGTGGCGAAATGGATATGGATTGATGTAAAATGGCAGTGTGTCAAAACCTTGTACCCCTGGTGAACATCAAAATAGCTGGTAAATGGATGTTCATCCCCCTAAAAATGGTATTAATAGGTATTGATCCATACCCAAATCACAGGAAATTGAAGATTTCATGAAGCTTCTCAATCTTGAGGTGTGTCTCAATTTTGAAGTGTTGCCTTGAACGTAGCACTTTTGGATGCTGCAAAGAGTCATGGATTCACAGGCACAAAGTATTCAAACGGGTTCATAGTTTGTTAACCTTGATAAACCCCGACTCTTAGTTGATGGGAGTGCAGTTGATACGTTTCCAATCCATCCAGTTCCACTGAACCATATCAATTGCGAGCAAATGTGAGCGGTGAAGGGTTAAACTGCTGTTCTCCCAGTGCATGGAGCTTTACACGGTGAAAACCAATTTGCCAATGGTTTCCTGCACCATTTAATCATTATCTCTTAAAGTCAAGTTAACCCAGCAATCCTTTCCCTGAAATATCAAATACCCTCTGGTAATTTAACATAGCTATTGAAAATGGCCATTTATAGTGAGTTTTCCCATAAAAAATGGTGATGTTCCATAGTTATGTTAGTTTACCAGAGGGTATATTCAAATACCCCGCCAATCAAAACCCTGGTGGACTGTCCCCAGGACTGCAATCGATTCATTTTGGGGCCCGAAGTTTTGGGGGAGTTTTGATAGGGGTGCCATGGTCAAAACATTGGATGAATGTGGTATGGTCATCCCATAATCGTAATCCTGGAAATAAAATGGCTATATTGATCTCTACTATATGGCTATGGATCAATACCTATTAATACCATTTTTAGGGGGATGAACATCCATTTACCAGCTATTTTGATGTTCACCAGGGGTACAAGGTTTTGACACACTGCCATATCTCTACTATTCTCTATTCATCAATTGATGACCATCTCGGCTGAATCTAATTCAACTTTGACCATGGCACTACTATTAGTTGATGTAGGCTTCTTAAGTCATGGGGGGAATCCCTAAGCCGCCATGGGTTTACTAACATGATTTGGGGGACCCCCGTGGAAACCCGTCTCCTGCAACAGGTGACTTAGGCTTCGCCGCAGCCAGCAGAGGGCTGCGTCCTCAGTGGATTTGAAGGGGCAAATGGGAAATGCCTGGGAAATGAAGTGCAAAAAAGGGATTTTAAGTGGATTTGAAGATCAATTGATGTCAGAAACACCACTCCATTTAAGGACCTTCATTGAAATACCTGGATTTGAGTGGTGGTTCTGACATCAAGTTGGAGAAAACTCAGAAGTTTGCTCGGTTGCCCCGGCCATCACTGTCTGGGATCTTGCATATTGCTGGGAGTCAATGCAGAATCGTCCATGCTGTTCCCATGGAAACAAGATCTCACGATTCAGTACAAATCACTTCAATGATTTCAATGATCAATATCAATCTGATTTCAATCACTTCAAATCTTCGGGTTGGACCACCTTCCAACCACTTTCTCCACTTCCAGGGGTTCCGGCGCCGCCCGCAGCTGCAAGCTGCTGGTAGGGTCGCAACGCCTCGTAGCATGGGTGATACAAGTATACTAGCCCAAAAAAAGTGAAAAACACTATACTTGTTTTCTTTTCGATCTTCTTGAAGGGTTGCTATACTCAAAGTTTTTCCCCACGGAAAATAAGTTTTCGCATGATTAAAGATGATTAAAGTTATGTTTCCCATGGATGATGAGGTTTTTTCCACCTCGGATGGGTTGGATGATCTGTCTCCAAAAACCCATGGCCCATTTGGAACACCAGGCGCCCAGACCACCACGAAGAAGCCTCAGCAAATCTCAGCACACTTTTAAGGTGGCCTCATGTCATAAATACCCCGAAAAACAGGATGGTAAGCTAGATAACTATATCCCATCCGTTATGTTGTGGTTAAAAACAAGATGAAGCCCACGAACCCGAATGCTCACACGTATGTTAATGGTACAGATGTCAAAACACATGGCTATGCAGTCACGCACAATACCTTTCTGCAATAGCTTATATTTGAACAGTCTTGTACATGTTTCCCTTGTTACCAGTCTGCAGTGTGGGGTGGAAAGTGTAGAGTGTGGAGTGTGGAGTGTGAAGCAAGGAGTGTGGAGTGTAAAGTGTGGAGTGTAAAGTGTGGAGTGGGGAGTGTAGAGTGTGTAAAGTGTAGAATGCGGAGTATAAAGTGTAGAGTGTGGAGTATGGAGTGTAAAGTGTAGAGTGTGGAGTGTAAAGTGTGGAGTGAGGAATGTAAAGTGGAAAGCGTGGAGTGTAAAGTGTGGAGTGTAGAGTGTATAGTGTAGATTGTAAAGCGTAGAGTGTGGAGTGTAAAGTGTGGAGTGTAAAGTGTGGAGTGTGGAGTGTAAAGTGTGGAGTGAGGAGTGTAAAGTGTGGAGTGTGGAGTGTAAAGTGTGGAGTGTAAAGTGTGGAGTGTGGAGTGCGGAGTGTGGAGTGGAAAGTGTGAAGTGTGGAGTGTAAAGTGTGGAGTGAGGAGTGTAAAGTGTGGAGTGTGGAGCGAGGAGTGTAAAGTGTGGAGTGTGGAGTGTAAAGTGTGGAGTGTGGAGTGGGGAGTGTAAAGTGTGGAGTGCGGAGTGTGAAGTTGTGAAGTGTAAAGTGTGGAGTGTGGAGCGTAAAGTGTAGAGTGTGGAGTCTGGAGTGGAAAGTGTAGAGTGTGGTGTGTAGAGTGTGGCGTGTGGAGTGCAAAGTGAGGAGTGCAAAGTGTGGATTGTGGTGTGAGAAGTGTAAAGTATAAAGTGTGGAGTGTGGTGTGCGGAGTGTGGAGTGGAAAGTGTAGAGTGTGGAGTGTGGTGTGTAAAGTGGGGAGTGTGGAGTGTAGAGTGTGGAGTGAGGAGTGTAAAGTGTAAAGTGTGGAGTGTGGAGTGTAAAGTGTGGAGTGCGAAATGTGAGTGGAAAGTGTAGAGTGTGGTGTGTAGAGTGTGGACTCTGAAATGTAAAGTGTGGAGTGTAGAGTGTAAAGTGTAGAGTGTGGAGTGTAGAGTAGAGTGTAAAGTGTAGAGTGTAAAGTGTAGAGTGTGGAGTGTAGAGTGTAAAGTGACGAGTGTAAAGTGTAGAGTGAGGAGTGTAAAGTGTGGAGTGAGGAGTGTAAAGTGTGGAGTGTGGAGTGGAAAGTGTGGAGTGGAAAGTGTGGAGTGTGTAGTGTAAAGTGTGGAGTGTAAAGTAAGGAGTGTGTAGTGTAAAGTGTGGAGTGTGGAGTGTAAAGTCTCAGGTGAGGAGTGAGGAGTGTAAAGTGCAAAGTGTAAAGTGTGGAGTGTAAAGTGTAGAGTGTGGGGTCTAAAGTGTATCTAAAGTGTAAATTGTGGAGTGTGGAGTGTAAAGTGTAGAGTGTGGAGTGCGGAGCTTCCCCCATAGACACGGCGACGCCACAGGAAAACCAGAGACTCGAGACGAGACACGTGGGTGCAAAAAACGAGCATTTCGTGCGAGACTTCCTCCAATTTTGATATTTTCCACACGTTATCAAACAGGTTGGAATGTCACAAAGTGCCACGCCTGCCACGCAAAACGACATGACAACCTGCTTGGAAACATTCGAAAAGGACATGTTTTCCAGCTTCCCCCATAGACACGGCGACGCCACAGGAAAACCAGCGACTCGAGACAAGACACGTGGATGCAGAAAAACGAGCATTTCGTACGAGACTTCCTCCAATTTTGACATTTTTGACACATTATCAAGCAGGTTGGAATATCACAAAGTGCCACGCCTGCCACGCAAAACGACATGACAACTTCCTTGGAAACCTTCGAAAAGGAGAGGTTTTGCGGCTTCCCCCATAGACACGGCGAGGCCACGGGAAAACCAGAGACTCGAGACGAGACACGTGGGAGCACCAAAACGATCATTTCGTACGAGACTTCCGGCAATGTTCACAGTTGGCAACACGACAAAAAGACAAGTTTTGCAGCTTCCCCCATAGACACGGCGAGGCCACGGGAAAACCAGACACGGGAGACGAGACAGGTGGGAGCACCAAAACGACCATTTCGTGCGAGACTTCCTCCAATTTTCACACTTTGCAGCTTCAAAATCGACGTTTTCCTACGAGTTTTCCTTAGAACCTGAAAATTTGCAACCTCAAAATCGATGTTTCGTGCGAGGCTTCCGTCAATTTTCAGCACATGTCAGAAAATGCCACGCCTGCCACGGAATTTGCACCTTGTCGCCACTTGACGCAGCCCTGCCAATGCGATTTACAAAAAACACGCAACAGGACACGTCTAAAGTGCTGCGCCTGCCACGAAAAATGACGATGGACACGTCCAAAGTGCTGCGCCTGCCACGAAAACTGCAACACATCTTCTGAAAACGTCACAAAAGTATTGCGCCTGCCACGCAAAACGACTTTCGACACGTTGCAGAACACGTCTGAATGTCACGAAGTGCCACGCCTGCCACGCGAAACGAAGCAACCAGACGTCTGAAACCTCCAAAAAGGACCACCTCTGCAAAACTTCCCATAGGCACGGCCATACGGCGCGAACGGTTGCGCGCGGACGGTTGCGAACGGTTGCGACCACAAACGCAACGTCGAGCGAACACACCCTCAACCCCCAGACCCCCAGAGTGAAACGGGAACCCTTGCTACGCATTCGGGAAAAAACAAGTCTAGTCATAAAGTCATAAAGGTCTATTGAAATTGATTGAATACCTTCGTTACGAGACCAAAAAGAATGCAACAGATACAACTACTCACCTCTCCACCATCCCCAGGCCCTGAGGAGCAGACAGAACTTGTCCAAGTGAGTACAGAGCTCCAGAAAGGATCGTCTCGCCTATGGTGCAATGTCCAGCACCCTGCAATCTGATGGCAAGTTAGGGTCCAGCACTTCCCCTGGGATATCTTGGGTGAACTAGGGTTGATTAGGGGGGATATAATATGATATAAAAAAAATATATAACTAATAGTTCATATAAACCAACAAACATAACTTCGGCGGCCTCGCCAAGCGTGGCTGACTTTCACCAGCATGGTGTCCCCACCCGACTGGCACCATGTGACTGGCCTCCAGGGCGAAGGCGGAGTTTGTTCTGAAGACGTCCAAGACTCCGGGATCTGCGATCGGAACATCAGGGGATGGTTGGGCGGTTGGGGTGCACCAAAACCACAGAATTTCCCCAGCGAAGTGTGGCGAATCAACTGCTGGGATCAATTGATTGGATTGCTGAAGAGAAGTTTAAAAGCACTGCACTGCACTGCTCATCTCGAAGTATTCAGAATACGTCTATCTTAGAGGGAAAACTCCCACGAGCTTCCCAGTTTCGAGAACCATTGAATGAGTGGGATATCCTACAATCACTGGTTGAATGCCAGCTTTGCCAGCTCTTACCATCTTACTGGCATTCATAGCCACAGCCACCATGAGACGATGGACTTTCCCCAGCATTTCTCCTATCCGTGGAGGCTCGGATCGTCGATCATCACCAAATCCCCACATAACAAGTTGCCACTAATTAAGTCGAAAACGAATGGCTACGGCAAAATGGATAGGTTATTCGAAAACAGTCATGAAACCCATCATGAAACCCATCATGAAACATCATGAAACCCATCATGAAACCTCCAAAAAATACCATGCCGTTCATCCTGAAAACGGTCAGAAATAAACCGTGCCGCTGCCGCCTTCCACCTCAGCGTGGCCGCTTTGAAGCTCCGACATCATGGCCGGGAAGGAGAGCGACGGAGAAGCAGCTCCTGAAGCTGGAGATGTTTGGGGAAAGCGAGGGATTTACCCATCAAAAAAATGGTGATTCGATCTCAAAAAATGAGGGTTGAACAATTTAGCCATCAGATATCATGATTTAGCCATCCAAATGAGGATTTAGCCATCGAAAGTGGGGCTTCAACCATCAAGAATGAGGATTTAGCCATCAAACAGTATGCCCATGTTCAAACATGCCCAAATCTTGCACATGTTGCATTGTTTGAAAGGAAATGGGCACGTCAAAAAATTGCAAAAAAATCTAGGTATCATCCCACTGAGGACTCAACCTGCTTCACTCTCTTCATGGTCCTCCTTCCAGCGCACGACAGAACGGCACCAGGCACGCCAAATATGTAAACCCAAAAACATATCTGCCATGCCCAAAATTCCAGAGATTTACTAAACTGTTGTTATCCCCACTTGGAGTTTGTGGCACTCGGTTTACTACATTTCACTGAAAAATTACCCCGTTAGCCCTTATCGGTATCTGAAGTCCCGTTACACCGTTCCCAAGGAACCTCTCGAGGGATTGTCCCCCTATTGGGATACCGACATTCCAAAGGAGCTACTCTTGGTGAAATGTTGCTGATTTCCATGAGAGTGTCAAAATCAAAAGTGACGAATCCAAGGTCTCCAATTTTCCAGAAGCCACCAAAGATACCAAAGAGGTTGAGGCTAGGTGTAGCCAAGATCTGGGTCCTTTGATGCCAACAACAATGGAAAAAAATAAAAGAAAAACCATCTGGCAAACACACGACCGACCTGCGGGGCGTCCTGTCGATGCGCCAACTCTCTGAAGTGCGCCTCGCTCTGCCCCAATCATCATCAGAATTCCCAATTCGTTTCGTGATCTCACGGTACAATCGGAACCAACCAGCGCTTGCCACATTTTGGTCGGTAGTTTGAGAAACATAGTGGGTTGGTCACACATCTGATCAAATGTTTAGGTTTACATCCTATCCATCGCCTGGAACCCAGCAGTTCCAGTCAGTTCCCGTGTCATGGTTTGCCATCCGAACTGACTGAGCAAAACAATGCACAATACCCTCCAGTAGCCAAACATGCCAATGGAAAATTCCCCATTCATAGATCATTTCCCCACAAAAGCTCCATTGATAGGATATGTCCCATCTAGACATGTTTGATTGTGGGAGGATATCTAGATCTTTCACCATTTGCAAAAAACGAAAATATCTGACTCGAAAAATTCACTTTGCACTCCCCAAGGATGAAACAAACGTCTTAGAGTCTCATTTTGCACAAACAGATTGGGCCTCTTGCTGATTCACCACCCACTGAATCTGACAGGAATTTCGCCCTTGAAATCCTGCCACGCCTGTCGTAGGAGAGCTGCCACCAAACGATGACATGGACTGTCCCTGGCGCTGAAGATCCAGCTGAAAGCCGGCAGAAGTGGGGTGTAAAGCAACAATGGGACACTGTTACGTTGCAGACTCCCTTGGAAAACCATACATCAAATCTTCTCTGAACATACATACATACATACATATATATATATATTCGAATATAATATTAATATAATATAATATTGATATAATATGATATTAATATATTGTAATATTATACTAGTATAATATAATATTAATATAATATAATAAAATAAATATATATATATATTATTATACATTATATGTAATAATAATAACAACACTAATATATATATATTATACATTATAATACAATATAATATAGTATAATATAACATAATATTATATTATATTATATTATATTATACAGTTTTTCTTTCACCGGAATTCCTTTGCTGTTCAGGCTACCGCCTGGCCCACCCGGGATATTGATATCCCTCATTCGTATACATGAGGCACCTATTGAAAATGGTGATTTCCAGTTCCCCTGGCCTGCGCAGTGGGGGCAGATTGTCCCTGGACTCCTACAGAGCTTGGTGTGGGGGACCTAGATCACCTTCGTGTTGAAAAACACCGGAAGTGATGATCCCCAAACACAACAGTGAGATCATGAAACGAAATTCTGGTATCACATACTTTCGGGTTTATCTTGTGAAAGTACCATTCTGTGGTAAACCCACTAATAACCATATTTTAAAAAAATATGTGATGTGGTAAAGGCAATAAACTATCCACCATCCCCAATGCCTTACCACAAACGGCCTGCGACCTGGGCCCTGAAAAAGAATCTGTGGCCCCGATATCCCACAGTCTGCCAACACCCACAACATCATGTCCCTCTTGAGGCCCAAAAATCACCGAAAGTACCAGAAAGTCATCCTCTTCAAATCCATCCATCTTTTTGCTGAGTCCAAACAATTACACAAAGAGTATGCCCTCCGGTAGTCAAACGCGGCAATGGAAAAGCCACCATTTCAAGATTCTTTCCCATTATCTCTTCATTTCGTTCGGGGATTTGCCAGGCTGTCATATTTGATTACCGGAGGGTAAGCCATCCCAAGCGCGACCCCAAACCACATGTTTTCCACCAGAGGAAAACACCATAAGCCACCATTAACCAGCACCACAATAACCATTATAATAACATTAATCACCATTAACCAGCAGTAATCACCATTAACCATATTAATCACCATTTTAACCACCATTAAATCTCCATTTTTGTTGGTTAAATCACCATTAATCCGTCAAAAACCAAGGGGGAAAAAGCCATGGAAACTCATCTGTCCTCTAGCTGGATCTCCGACTCCAAAGCCCTGCTCCAGGTAAGGAGCTCAAAGAAGCCAGGCGCCAGCGCCGGCCCTGGCGAGGCCTTGTTGCAAGGGCTCAGCCAAGCAGGTGAGAGATTCAACATGATTCAACCATCAGAAATTGATGAACATTTGGATTTAACCATGGAGAATTGATTACAACACAGATTTTACCATCCAAAAATTGATTCTTAAAAAAGAACAGCATTTATAACATGTTATAACCATAAAAAGTTGATGACCAAAAGAATTTAACCATCAGAAATTGCCAAAAGCCAGGATTGAACTGATTTAACCATGAAAAGTTGATGACAAAAGGGATTTGACGATGAAAAGCTCATCAGATGTAGGATGTCACCCCTGAAGGATGGATTGCAATAGGGATTCGATGCTGAAAAGTTCAGAAAGTGGTCGGATTTTTCCAGTAACAATGTGCGGATTCGATGGGTTCAAGGGGAACATCTTGAGAAAACCATGGGGATTTGATGATTTTACAATCAACTTTTGGGGGGTTCCGCTTGGAATTTCCCCATCATCCAATTCTGGGGCCCAGAATTGTCTCACAAATCCAGCTGTTAAGACATGATATGACATGACTTGGGGTCAACTTCTAACCCATATGTGGAGGGTTTAATTGGCACAAAGTGGGGCCCCTAGATGGTTTATAACTCCAATAACTATGGTTTATGGTACCTATAACTATAGTTAATGGGGTTTATAAACCATCTTATAACTGGGGGGCCCCACATTGCAGTTGCTAAATAGCAAGCTTTCTGTTCCAAAGATATTGGGAGGCCCAACGATCCAGCTGGAGAGTCGGGAGGGGTGGCTTCAAGAGAGGTTAGAGCTGTCAAGCCCGAATCTTCAACAACTCAGCTTCACCACATCATTGCGGAAATTCAGCCAACCCCTGACCAGATGACCCAAATAAATCCAAATCATATAGAGATTGATTGTTTATTGCGGCCGTGTTCATCACCTTTCCCGCAACAAAGGGGAGGCACAAGAAGCCAAGCGACGCCAGCTTTGGGCGCGAACAATGCAAAGAGAAGGGCCAACCTCGATACTCGGTCAGAAGATCGGGTGGCTGATCCCGCTGAACTGGGTAGCAGTTAGTTCAACCTAGTTATAAGTGGACTAACCTACCACTTACCACGTATCCCACGTATCCCAAACCAGGGATAGAAGCTACAAAAAGTAAGTAGGATTAAAGACCACCAAGTGGGCATAAGGTTTCTACACACATAATGTAAATGTATGCATCATCATGTATGCATCAATCAAGAAAGACGAAGAACTACACATGTGATCCAACCTGATCCAACTACGATCGTTGCAGTCAAATCGCTTGATCCAACAGCGGGTGTGCTGGGTGACCCCCGCGCGGTTCCTTCAACCAGCTCCCGCCCTAAAAGTCCCAGCACAGCGATCTGCCAGCACCGTCAAGTCGAACCCAGGTTCGAATGGGGTACCCCCAAATCATCGATATGTTAGACCATGTACTGAAACATATCCCATTTTAAGAAACCTCCAGATGTTTTTTATGGATATGGTATAATGGGTGGATAATGGTGATATAGTGGGGATATAATGGGCAGACAATGGGATATACAACAAATATGATCTGGGTCTCCAAAGAGTACTGGAACCCCATTTTATTGCCATGGTTTTAGGGCCCAACTTTTCATAAACCAATAGATTTTCTGGTTCCAACTTTTGAGGCAACTCCATTGAATAGCTATAAGCATTTATAAGCTATGTAAGTGGGGATGTATGGGTTAGTTAACCAACTATAGTCATTATGAGTGTGAAATAGTAACCAATTGGGGATGTATTCGCCCGTGGGAAGTATAACTATAGGATTGTGGATATATCAACCCCCAAACTCCTTGGCTGGATTCCATACTTCATTGGATAGATTCTCCAAGGTTTTTTGTTTGTCGAACTGTACTGGAAATCCTGTTTTTCAAGACCAAATATGGTTACTTTCCTGTAGAATTCCCCAAACCAAGTCTTGGATTTACAAACGACCACCAAGAAAATCTCCACAACCATTCTCAACCAGTATGAACCATTTACCCACAATCGCTTAACTCCACTTATAACCCCCAAGTAACCATCGTTCCTTGGGAATGCCATCCTTCCTTCCAACATGAAGGGCATCAGTCGCACCTTCGCCTCGCCGGTCGTTTCAGTGGTCACCTTAAGCTGGTAGATGGGGCAGCATTTTTTTCTGGTGCAGCGAATGGTTTCAGACATTGAAAAACAAAAAATGGTCGATTTAGGTCCCAGAAAGCTACTCTGTATATATATATATAATATATATATAATATATATAATATATATATATATATATTATATATAGTCCAAAGAAAAACAAGGGCCGCTGACCCAGCTGGCATGCCGATTGAAGTAGGTGTTTGATGGTTTTTTGGTGGTTTCACAGCTGTTGCATCTTGATGTTTCACAGCTGTTGTATCCTGCATCCTCTAGATCTGATCACTGTGTCCCCCTACCGTATGCTGATAAAGCCGTTCCAGATGTCTGCAGACCTGTCACAACAAAAATCGCAGCTATCGAAGCTCGGGTGACCTTCACTGCCATAAACCTACCATTTGGGGACGGTTTATACATGTTTAATACCACCTATTTATGGCATTTGATGGCCATATGAATGGCTTTGGTTACTTTTTGTTTGACCATGACCCCTCGCGCCGCAGAGTTTTTCGGCGACTTTTTTTCGGTCTCTGGCTGAGACAGGTTTTCCAAAACCGCAGTCGAAGCACGTCGGCAAGGCATTCAAACGACCGGTTTGCCTCGATGGGGGGGTGCTATGTGGTCCCCTACGCCGAACGCAAATGACCCTCTGAATATACTCTAAATGATCTTCCTCGAGAAAAGGACAAAATTGGACCTGTCTGTTCACCCTGTAGGATGCTGTTTGCTGCCATGTTGCCATGTTTTCACCTCGAAGTCACCATTTTTGAATCGTTGGAGCTCCTGTGGTCCCCGAGATAGATCCCCATACAAGAATTCCAAAAAGGGAAGCCTTTTCCGTCCCTGCTTCTCTGAGGTACACGGCCTCGGCGGCTGCAGCCACCTTCTGAATTTTTCGGAGCCATGGATGGCACAGTGCAGCCAATTCTACACCAGCGCACGGCGGAAAACCCTGGTACTGGACGTAGAATTTGCCATGGGAATTTGAATTTGTGACCCCTATGACATATATAGGCCAATCATATAGTATATATGTCCATATGATTCCCATGACTATAGGATACTATAGGTAACCCCCGTTGCTGTTTTCTTAACCTTGGAAACCCCTTTTTCGCAGATTTTTTTTTCGGAGACTAGAACACAGCGAAATGAAAATCCTTAGATTTGATCAGAGCTCAAGGGGGCCAAACCCTTTCAAGGTGGCCACCCTTCTGAAATATCAACTTCGTAGTGATCTTGAAACTGAGTTTAGATGCATTTTAAAAAACTTGAGAGTTGAGTCTTGATGGCACTTCCAATTTTACACATGAACAAGTCAATTCACGAAGATCAATTCACAAACATCGCTGGCCGCTGCGAGGCAAGCCTGTCCAATACCTACAGTAGGTGATGACAAGGCCTGGCCAAGTCGATCACTCCCAAGAATCGACCTATCATTGTGTGTATGGAATAGAACGGAATGGCT